ATATATATATATATATATATATATATATATATATATATATATATATATATATATATATACACATACATCCTTTTGCAGAGGTATTGCAAGATCATTTAACATATAACTAAGCCTTTTTATTTGGTAACTACAGGGACTTCAATGCAAACAGCTTGAACTATTTTTAAGTTATAGAAGAGTGGTCATTTAAGGGGTTGAACAACAATGCTTGAAACAAGCACTATGTTCTGCCAGTATAGTGAGATAATTAGGTACAAAGCAGTAAGATTACTTTTTCCTGGAAGTAATGTAATGAGTAATGTAATGAGTAATGTAATGCCATTACATTTCAGAGAAGTAATTAGTAACTTATAATGAATTACTTAACTTTTTTTGCCGAAACTGAAGCTAACTATACTAAAATTAATGCTAGCAGTACGGCCAGCTGAGGCTGTGCAGCTCTCTGATCTGACTGAAATGAAGTTAGTTTTGGGGGTCTTTGGGAGCAAAGCAACACTTTTTGCTTTCTCCCCTCTTCTTGCGTTTCTCTGCTGTACTTGTATAACTTTATCTGATTTTCCCTTTCTTAGCACCTGGGAAATCACACCTAAGGATCACCTTTCTATCATGTAGATAATGTTATAAATAAAGCTTTATTGCCTTGTTTGTTTATGTCATCATATTACAACATTTTTTAAGAATAGGTTATTTAAAATTAACATGTACAGTGTATTTTCATGGGATTCTTGGCTTATGGGGGCCCTAGGCAGCTGACTCCCTTTGCTTAATGCAAAAACATCCCCTATTTGTCCAAATTGTTTGACTCTTACAGCTGGATCTTCTCTAAACATCTTTCAACTTTGCTTTGTGTTCAGAGCATGTCTACCACCCAGGCAAAGCTGTGCTATTGGTGTTGCTGGTCTTACTGACTCTCTACAGTCTCACAATCCTGACCCTCATCATCTGTACAAAGGTATGATCTGTGGATGAATGTATGATCTCTTTTCCAAAATAAAGCTAAAGTCATCAGGTTACAATAGCATCTGTGTTGCTTTCAACCTTACCTGAAATGTACTCATTTTAATTAACTAGACTGGACAACGCACATTATCTTTAAAAGGACGAATCAAGAGAAGTGACAGAAAGGTACTGCTGCTTTTTACATACTATTGCACTACAAACCTACAAGCATATTTTTATTTATTTTGTACCACTGTGGAAAAAAAATGTTGTCTATGTCTGACTGTTCTTCAGATCACATTTTATATGTTCATATCATTGGCAGAACTTGAATAGTTCAATATTATCAACATTGGTGACTTGTTATTTGTTATTCAGCTTTTTGCACTTGTACATACTAAAAGACTTTTAGGTTCTTACAGTTAGAATTTAGTTAGTACTGAGGTATTTAGTTAAAAATGTATCAGTATTTGTTCATCCATTATATTCTCTTTCCCTTTAACATATAATGACTTTACATCACTAGCATGAACGTAGTGATTTTAATAAAGCTCAGCTAAAGCACTTGTGGTTTGAAAATCAATTTATCTGAATAGTAAGCACACTAAATCTAACTAACACCAATGTTAAAATACATATAAACAACAGCAATGCAACTGTTAACCTCTTTCCAAACCTCTCCTCATGAAAGCCCAGTATTGTTTGTTGATTGATTAAATCAAGTGTGCTGCTGATGGAATTGAATCAATCCAAGCTACATGGGGCCTTTGTGGGAAGACCTGGAACCAAACCTGTGTTCAAAAATTTCAGTTACTTTTTTAAAAATGCAAAAATTTTTTTCTGGCTCTACAGCATTAATATTTGTTTACCTCTGTTCTACAACCCCGTTTCCAAAAAAGTTGGAACGCTGTGCAAAATGTAAATCAGTAGTGAAACTGATAAATGTTATTGTTGGGACGGGGCAACAGAAGACTGGTAAATTTGTGTAATGCTGAAAAAACACCAGGTGGAACATCTGACAACTAATTATGTTAATTGGCAACAGGTCAGTAACATGACTGGGCATAAAAAGATCATCCCAGAGAGGCTGAGTAGTAAAGATTAGGAGGGGTTCACAAGACTGCATGAGTAAAAAATGCAACAATTCAAGAATTTGGGATTTCATCATCTGTGATACATAATATCATTAAAATATGCAGAGAATCTGGAGAAATCTCTGCATGCAAGGGACAAGACCAAAAACCATTTTTCCTCCCAATATGTTGAATTCAGCAAATAAACAGTAATAGTGCTTTACAATCCACAGACGTATGTTCTCTGTAGAGGATGTGTAAACATATTTAACATATTAACATAATCAAAAAAACATGTTTGACCAGTCTCAACTTTTGCATACAACTTTAAGTAAACTTAAGAGCTCAAACTCTTGTTTCCTGTTGCTCTTCTTAGAGTGACTTGTCCAGGCAAGTCCATTTCGGAGCTGTGGTGCAAGAGCTTTACAGCAAGAGGAACTTGCGCAGTAACAAGAAAAACTCTACCGAAGTCTCACAGGAAAACAAGGTTCTCTTGTTGTTTTTGTTTCTTTAGGTGTAGATATAAGGTCAATATGTGAACATGAACATGGTAGCACTGCTTATTTTTAACATCTCTGCTAAACAACTCTGTTACAGTGTGAAAATCCAAGGACCAATGGCAATAAAGAAGACATATACCAAAATCTGAACAAGACTGGATAAATGTTGATGCTCCTGCTGTGTGTTAAACATGTGAAACAAGCAGCAAGAAGGATGAGGGATAGAAAAAATGGAGAGTGACCTGAAGACAATACAATATTATACAGTACATACGTTGCTCTGGGTGGACATTGCTCCATAGGACTGGCTTCCTCTTCTACAAGTCCTGATTGTAACCATAATAAGACAAACTGTGAAATATGTCGGCCTAAAATGTGAAAGTATAGATATATATACATTTCCCCTCATTTGGTGGTGAAGGCCTGGGAGTGAAATATGCGATTCTCTGCTTTACTCGCCCCACCTGGTTTTACTGCCTGTTTCAAAGGCATGCTTGCTGATAATAGGCCTTTTCTTCTTCTTTTTTTTCTTGTTTTATGAGTCATAATTAATTCTTATGTAATAAAAGCTTGAAGACAGATTATTTGTATTTGCAGGTCATTGTCGAGCAAAAGTAAAGGCACATATGAAGAAAAAACTACATTTACTTGCTTTTTTTTAAAAAAAAAACAACAGTTTTAAATGGTATGTAATGTTAAAGTTTCAAAATGTGCCATTCACTTCCCAGCCCTTACAGTCCATATATGGAAATAAAGCTGCAAAAATGGCATTTTTTTGTAACATTTTGAAAATCAACATATTTCTATATATTTATTTATATGCCTATTCAGCCTACATCAGCTTAGCTCTATTATAAGGAGTTCGTCAGACTGGACCGCTATTTGAACAAGTACAGGGGACCCAATAAGAACAGAAGTCATTTACATGTATTAGTCTTAAAAGAACAGTAATGGAAACAGCTTGTTTACTTCTAAGGGATAAATAGAGGGTGAAAAATGGTCATGTAAATAAATTATAACCATTATTTATTTGGTACATAAAACAACACAAACATCATATGTAGAAAAAATTAAGCACAAGAAAAGAATATTGGATATGGGCCATCTAAGAACACATTGTCACTGGGGAGGATCTCTTATAGTTCAACAGCAGTAGAGCTTTCCTGAGATTAGACATCATTACACAAGTTACTACACTAATAAAACAGTCTGGTATAGACTTTTGACTATTAATCTGTTAGCACGAAATTCAGAACCGCTTTGCCAAATTGGGAAATTTGAAGTGCACATCAAATGCAAGTGACAACATTTGTTACAATTTATTGGATTTTTGCTGCTGGGGAAAGTCTGAAATCTATTTAGGCAATATCAAACCCCCGTCCATCTTGAGGAAGTGCTGTTTCTGACACTCACAGTGTGTCGTCTGAAAGACTAAATCTAAACAAACCGCTGTCAGCGAATTACAACACTAAGATGCAGCCACAGGCCTGTATGTTACAAGAAACCACAAACTTGCTTGCATGATCACTTCTGACGATGCATAGACTGAGCATTGATGGGAACATTTTCAATGCTCAGAAAAAAGACAACCAAGTGTGGGTTATACACTAATTAAATGGGCATAATATTGATATAAAACAGCATGAATTCTATAAGCATCTATAATGCTTAAAAACTCTGCCTTGATCATTTCCTCGTGACCATTATCAAGCAATTTTTCTATTTCAATTTAGCAGTTTCCCAATTGCTATAGACACAGATGTAATAAAAGATATATCTATTAAAAAAAATCAAACCATGATTAAAAAGTGACTTTTTATCTCTTAATTTATCCTATTGAATTTATTACTTTTTAACAAAACATCAAAAAATTCTAATTTGATTTGGACTAAAAATAAAAAGGTCCAAACAAATTTCATTACTTTAGACGAATCAGAACAAGTTCTGTGGCATTTTCCTTACATACTATAGTCAAATGCAATTGACATTTGTTGATTTTCTTACTTTAACTTTTACTTACTTTAAATTTTGTTGATTTTTGTGAGCAATTTGTATTTATTTGTTGATTTTAACATTACATACATATACCTTTGCAGTGGCCACACTTTACATTTTATTTTTCCCCCACATTTTATTTTTTTAAATATGATAATTTCTAGTCAGTAGAAATATCTGATTGTGTACAAGTGTCACTTTTAACACTCACATCTTAACACCAGCTAAAGAAAGATCTATCTGAGAAGTTGTGCTGCACCTTCTAATGATGTAGAAACCCGAATACAACCAGCTTTGGTCAAACCGAGGAGGCAACGAATAAACGAAATCCTGACTTTATTCGTCCAATGACAAGCTGAGTTGTTTTGCCGCTGAAATATGCAAATCAGCCATCCTCGCCGCGTGTGTTCATTGGAGGAGCGCTTGAGCGCATGCTCGCGGGCAGGGATACGCGCGTCCCCGCGCTCTACCAATCATCAACCACTGAAACCTGTTAGTAAAGAAGCGCTGAAAACATGGTGAGTAATTTTTCTTTTCAAAGATTTTACGTTTCAGATTTGTCTCATTTGTCGCAACAAAACCTTCAAGTGCTGAATGAACACCAGCAGTGTTAAACTGACACAGTGTCCGTTTAAGTCGAGCTAATGCAAATTCAAGTCTGGAAGACTTCATTCACAGTGAGGCCTTTGCTGTGCGTTGTGCTGAAATTATTTCATTATATTTTGTTGTGTTGATGACCAAAATCAGTTGAAAGGCTCCTATAAGCCTGCTGTTTTGTTGTAACATGCTTACTACATATTAACTGCGCATATTTGTGTCAATACCTTGTTCTTCTATGTGGTTCTATATTCTGTCTTGTTTTTTTCTGTATTTTTTGTGCAAGCTGTGTGGTTTTAACTCAGTCAGAGCTGCTTAAATGTTATTGAAGTGCAGTCATGTGGTCTATTTTCCAGAACACCATTCATTGTTGACTCTTGCAGAGGCCCTCCAAAAGCCTGGCCCTCAATACACAGCTCGATATTGTTAAACAGGAATAGGGCACAAAGGAAATGTGACCAGTAAATAAAGGCTGAGAGTTATGGAATAACAGGCAACCTGTGTTATATTGTGCTCTGTGTAAATCTTGATTCCTGTAGGCAGAAGCACACATGTGCTTACAAAGTGGTGGTTATGATGTGGAGCATTTTGTGGACGTGCCAGACGATGGCTTGATATGCAGTATATGCCAGGGAGTATTGCGCTGCCCGGTACGAGCAGCCTGCCACCATGTCTTCTGTAAAAAGTGCATCATGCAGTGGCTAAAGAGGTATGTAAAAGTTTTTCGCTGATGTAGAAGCTGATAGGCTTGCAGATCACACAGACTTTGTTGAATAATGTTGGCCAATGCTGGATGTTTGTCTCTTTTCTCTCCAGACAGGAAACCTGCCCATGCTGCAGAAAGCCCGTCAACCAGAGCCTGATATTTGTTATGTTCAAGCTCAGTAAAGCCATTGGTCGGCTTAAGATTAAGGTAGGATGCTGATTAAAATGCACCTGTGTTAACTGCACTTAATTGATACTTAAATGTTGCCAAGACCACGTTGGGACAGAGATTCAGGGCCGGTGCATTGACAGGGCAGAACAAGCAAATGCCCATGTGTGTCAGACCACTAGGGGTGCCACTGTCTTGCCAGTTCAAGACATCCTTTGTGTTTCTAGATTTAAAAAGTATGTAAAAGTGTCAGTAGTTGGCTAACCAGTTAATGCTGATGTACCCTTGTTAATAATAAGCCTTTAAAATGAGCCCATGTGGAAGTTGTACAGCCATCACATTTTAGTATTTTGGAGTTTTTTCTCAATTCTACTGTTATAAGTTGTATCACAGGACCATCTTAGTGGACAGGCTGTAGTGGTGATAGTCAACCACTGATGTCCTTGTGCTCTCAGGTTTCAATGCACCAAAGCTTTGGATATTTTTCTGGCACATTCAGGCAAAAGGCTCAGAGGCTTCATGGAGCTTTAACACTCATTACTAAAAATAACTAAACCACTACAGCTGACCACCCTGTCATCCTACCAAACGTCTTCGTAATGGTAGGTACATTCCACCTTGTATGTGTCCCAGGACCCTTCTGACTAGATGCCTAGCCTCAGTGTTGGTTAATTATGAGAAAATGTAATGTTAAGTGTGAGAAAAATGTCAAAGTGGATTTTTTTTTTTTTTTGGAATTGGAATTTTGGAGTTTGTGTGGTGTACTTGAAAGCAGTCCATTATAGCCTATAATGCCAGTGCCCTAAACATTTTACTTTGTGGGAGGGTTTGGGTATACTAATAATTAATTTAAAAAAGGATAAATGCTAAGGTAAATACCACAGTAAAAATAATAAATTATGTTTAACTGAAATTCTGTAAAGTCAGCGACCACCCTAAATTTATTAATTTATTTCATTGCTATTTGAAAAAAGCTATTAAGCACAAGCTGTTCATTTTTCAGGAGATATTTTTGAGGTGATTAGCTTCAGGCACACTGCTTTGTCTGATCTGCTTATATCAGTGCAGCACACACTAACACACCACCACCACGTCAGTGTCACTGCAGTGCTGAGAATGATCCAGCACCCAAATAATACCTGCTCCGTGGTGGTCCTGTGGGGGTCCTAACCATTGAAGAACAATGCAAAAAATTATGGATATGAATGAAAGTCTTTGAAAGTAATAAATAAACAAGAAACATATATCTAACTGTTTATCTGTCTATATATATTTGCATATTTGCATACCAACTATATATAATGAATTATTCATTGTTATTTAATTGTAACTGATATACATATATAATACTTTTATTATGCAAATTAGTTAAAAACAGAACCAAACAATATATAGATAAACCTGTGATGTATACATTTAAGCATGCAGTAGCTTCTCTGGCCTGGCTAAAACAGTGCTAAATGTTGTTTTATGCCCATGACCTACCAAGGACTCGTACTGGTGTAGTGTGGTGTGCTCACCAATCTGCTGCATGGAGGGCAACGGCATTGCCCAATAGACCTTACCAACCAAAGTTAGATCTGAAATGTTGATGTGACTGAAATGATCAACAAATCAAATTCCTCCTCCTCCCCTCAGTGCAGGAATGAGATCCAGGGCTGCCGGGCCACTTTTCCCCTCTCTGAGCAGTACTGCCACAGCATGAGCTGCCCTTTTGAGCTCATCTCCTGCCCCTACCAGGGCTGCCGGGCACAGATGCTGCGGCGTGACCTGGAGGTGCACGCACGCCACTGTGAGCACTGGAAGCAGCCGTGCCATATGGGCTGCGGCACCGTGCTCTCGCAGCGCACCCGCACTCAGCACAACTGCTACCAGGAGCTGCGGCAGCAGTACGAGGCCAAGCAGCAGAGCCACCGTGCCATTGCTGCTGCCCTGCAGAGGAAGATGAGGAAGATGCAGAACACAATGGCGCACATGAAGAGGCAGATCAGCCTCATCTGCGAGAGCCTGGAGGTCATGGATGATGTGGTGGAGGTGGATGAGGCCGAGGAAGAGGAGGATGTGGCTGAGAGCGGCACAGCAGGCAGCAGCAGCAGCTCCTGAGGGTTTAGGAACAAGGGATGAGCGAAATGATTGCTGATTACTGCAGTATCAGTACTTCCAATCCTGTCATTTTCTTTTGACAGCTGATCCTTAGATAAAAGATATAGATACCGTGTGTTTTCTTTGACCAGTGATTTTAATATATTTGTTTTGATGAACTATGTATTTGAAGGTGAAAAAAGTGAAAATGACTGTAGCAAATAAATGTGTGTACACACACAGGTAGGTCTGTAGTATTAAAATCATGTTATTTTAGGAATTCACCACCCATAACTTCTTGAAACACCCATTTTGTTTTTGAGGTGCACAGTTTTACAATAGTAAATCAATGCAGTGGTGGTCTTTGTGTCTGCATCACTGTTCCCAACCCTTATTCTGGAGACTCCCTTTTCTGTACATGTTGGTGTTTTCTGTGCTCTAAAACATCAACTTCAACTCAGGATGAACTTGAAAATTAGTTGATTAGTTGGATGAGGTTTGTTAAAGCAGGGAAAGCAATGAAATAGGCAAGACATGGGGTACTCCAAGTTGGAGACCACTGGCATAAACTGCTCTGCACAGTTTCATACATTCTGAGCTGTAATGCTTCAGCTCAGCAGCTCATTATTAAGCAGTACAGTTGAGCTGAGAACAGCTGACCTAAATGATTGAGAGAAGTCATCATTTAAAGAGGAATTACACTGATTTTTCTATCTCTGCCTAATTTAATTGTTAAGATTGATAAATAAAGTCATTCCGGGTGGTTTGATGTGACATGTTTAATTGTAAATAAATGTATCAATTTCTTTTCAGTGGTGTTGATAGGAACCAGGGGTTGTGATGTGTACAATGCCATCATAACCATTTTAGTTCATCACAGTTAATCAACCAATAAACCTATACATGTCCAGAGTTTATAAATATAAAACTGAAGATGGTAAAATAGTGTTAATTCTGAAAGTAAAAGCTTTTTTGGGCGCTATAATGCCTTACACAGTGTTCCATATACTTTTCCACTTTAAATATCTTTTTAAAATTTGTTTTATTCCAAAAGCTTATCACACAGCTATCACAAAACAGTGTCTCTGGCATAAAACTGCATATTCATAACCCTTTCATGTAATAGCTTTCTGTGAGGGAGCTTTTAGAGGCTTAAAACTCTTCAGCCATCTGGCTCCTTTCACCACCACTGTGAACAGTTCTGACTCTGAAACGGAGCATTTCACATCAGACCACTTTGAATGACTGGTTACATCTTAGCCATTTAATTATGCAGACATATTGACAAAAATGTACAATTATGTTGTAAAGTTATGATTTAGAAAATCGTAGAATAAAGCATCCCTGATGTTTGTGAAATAATTAGCTGTTGCAATGATATTTTTTTATTGATTGTTTGATAATAAAGGCAACAAATTGTTTAAAAAAAAATCAGAAGGGAGTTTTATCCACAGTCTTTGGTAAGTTTGTGTCCTGCAGTTCATTGAAATCCTGTCACTTCTTTGAGTGGCCACTAGAGGGCATGATGTCACGGCAGGCTGAAATATCGCGAGGATTCCTCTGAATAAATATTGTCTGAACTCTCGCCCAGTCTTCTTCTTCCTGAACACACATCACGTAAGTAAATGTGTTTCTCTGTTAGCACGAAAATAAATCCGTTTACATCATTAACATCTCTCACTGTAAAACATGCTGCTTCTACCTGAATATGTTATTGATATGTTTGCGTTGAATTATGTTGAAATTGAGTCGATGACTTCATGAAAAAATGTTTTTTGGATCATTTGCTTTAAAACGGGTAGCTGCTGATGAGCCTGTGTCGGATCAAAAGCTGAATGTCTCAGCCTTGCTTTTATACTTTGAAAACTCTGTTCCATTCAAAGGAAATCGGGCAATAATAAAAGTAGTTACAGTTCTGTGATCATGGTTGTTGGTGCAGTAATCAAAATATCGCCTAGCTTTCTAGCTAGCATGCTAGCTCCTCATGCATTGTATGTGATGGTAACGTTGCTGCGGGAGAATGATTGTAGTCATTTATCTGCAGTGCAAATGTTAAGTTGTCCGCTTTTTACAGCAAATGGCGGACGACGCCGGTGGTAGAGGAGGTTTTCGCGGAGGTTTCGGCACTGGTGGCCGCGGCCGTGGTCGTGGTCGGGGTAGAGGCCGCGGACGAGGACGCGGAGCCCGAGGCGGCAAGTCCGAGGACAAGGAAGTGAGTGTCCAGCAACTCTACCTAAGTCTAATTTAATTTAGTAGATTAGAGCTGAAATTAAAACGGACCTGTTTTAATTTAGTGGGTGCCCGTGACCAAGCTTGGTCGTCTGGTGAAGGACATGAAGATCAAGTCCCTGGAGGAAATCTACCTGTACTCTCTGCCCATTAAGGTATGCAGTAACTTGTTTCATATGAATGTATGCATTTGTAGTAGTTTATTTTCTGAGACTGATCATCTTGTTTAATTCCAGGAGTCTGAGATCATTGATTTCTTCCTGGGGTCAGCCCTAAAGGATGAGGTGCTGAAGATCATGCCTGTCCAGAAACAGACTAGGGCCGGTCAGCGCACCAGGTTCAAGGTGATTCTCCTCTTTGATTCTATTTAGGAATTTTCATGGTAATTGTGATCTGAGCCATCATGTTAATGTGTGGACTGTGCTTTAGGCCTTTGTTGCCATTGGTGACTACAACGGCCATGTTGGTCTGGGAGTGAAGTGCTCCAAGGAAGTGGCCACTGCCATCCGTGGAGCCATCATCCTGGCCAAGCTGTCCATCATTCCTGTAAGGAGAGGCTACTGGGGTAACAAGATCGGCAAACCCCACACCGTACCCTGCAAGGTGAGATGAAATCGGAGAAACTGTGTTGCTTGTAAAATTAGCCCCTTATGTTTGCTCAGACTTGCCCAGTTTCATGCTGATTTATGGAACTGTTTAGGTGACTGGTCGCTGTGGCTCAGTCCTGGTGCGTCTGATCCCTGCTCCTCGTGGTACTGGCATCGTGTCTGCTCCGGTTCCCAAGAAGCTGCTCATGATGGGTGGTATCGATGACTGCTACACCTCAGCCAGAGGTTGCACGGCCACCCTGGGCAACTTCGGTAAGGAGGCTTTCAAAAGTACAGTAGTGCTTTAAAGAAAGTGTGCATTCTTTCTGCTCTGGTCGGCTGCATTTTGACATTTTATGGGAGAAAAGGGGAAAAAGTATAGTATTGCACGGCAGAAGTATGTACTGCTCAACAGCCTTTATGTAGGTGCTGGCAGCATTGTTTCTGAGCTTACTGTGATGCTCATGATTTTTGTCTTTCCAGCCAAGGCTACTTTTGATGCCATCTCCAAGACGTACAGCTATCTGACCCCTGATCTCTGGAAGGAAACGGTCTTCACCAAGTCTCCTTACCAGGTAGTTATTAGCTATGCTGTTACTATGTAAATCAAAAGCTTCCTTTGTGGACTCCTGACTGAATATAATCTCTTCTTTTTCAGGAATTCACTGATCATCTGGCCAAAACTCACACCAGGGTCTCAGTTCAGAGGAGCCAGGCCGCTGTTCAGGCAGCCTCCTAAATTTTGTACAACAGACTGAAATAAAGTCCTGGAAACAACTTTTACTTGTCTCTTTTTGATTTGTTTGCTTATTAATGAACCTTAAGACAGTGCTGGCAAAATGAAACTATATAGATAGATGGATGGATGAATGGATTAATTAAAAAAAAGTACATTTGTGAAGTTATGGCATATTGTTGGTCTAATGTTAGGATTGATTTGTGATACTAGGGGTATAAATCTGACTGATTCTAAAGGTCTAATTTTAGTATGACTGCATTAATACTTTTAAATAACTACAATAGTGACAGGAAAATCTACACAGGAGCAGAATAATAAGACAAGTACCCAGGGATTTTTTTTTGTTACAGAATTGCAGTGGAATTGATGTCTAAAACTGCTGTATTTTATACCTTTTTGGCTTGGTGTGAAGGTGTTGGCAAGGGTGGTTTGTGGAAAATTAAATGTGAAAATGGAGACCCGACTGATTTATTTAACTGAAAGCTAGAAAATAAAGGTCCTCAATTATTCAAAATACATAAATTGAACTTAAATCATTGATCAAAATTTAGACTTGTGTTTTTACAGATCACACTAATGCAGTAGTTCTTGGTCCACATTTTTGGTCCAGTCTAACTCCTACATAAGGATAAAGCAAAAATATGAACCTGAAGTTGAGTTCACTGGTGTTGAACTTGAAGCCACTAACAAACATGTCAGGTTAGAAAATTGATTGTCTAAGAATATTTTCTTGTAAAACATTTTATACATCATTACTTCTATGTAACTGTGCATTTTGCCCAAATGATCATGACCCATGCGTACAAATATTTTATACATGTGGTCCCTGTTGTCTAAACTGCACCAAGAAATAAGGACTGTCTGACTGTAGCTAGGGAAACAGTGTACCTATATTCTGATTTCTGTTAATCACATCAAAACAAGTAATTTTCCTGAACAGCACTGAAAGGAGAAATTCACTTTCCAATAAATTTATTTTACATGTTTATACATACATCAGAGAAAGCAGGACAGAGCTGAAATGAAGAGTTTATGCATTCTGTGCCTGTGCCATCATCCTTTCTTTCTGCTTCATCAAGCATTTGCGTGCACTGGCGTATGCTCCAAGGTCCCCATCTGAAACGAAAGCAAAGTAACATTCTATAATTTCTAAATTCTTAGCTTGCATTCAAGCTGGAGGACACCATCAAATCTTTTCAAGCAAAAGTTTTTAGTGTTTTTTTTTTAAGTGAATTAGTCATTATTTCCTGAATTGTTAAACCTCAAATTATTATTACTTTTAATTTACATACAGAACTTACACACTTACATATTAACAAACTGTTAATAGTCAATAATGACAATGGCTTGTCTGCTACAGTGATGGCTCAATTAGGCTTTAATGAATGAACAAGTCAACACTGGCTAAAGTTATACTGTGTAAGAGTTGGTGATTTTGAAAACCTCTAGTGGAAATGTGTAACTGCACTTAACGTGCTGAAGAATGTTTTGTCAGTTGTGCTTTGCCCCAAGCAGAGGCACCTGATGACTGTCAGTGCATTGAAAGCATTCAAAGAGAATCTTCTGAGAATGTAAGTGAATTATCCACTATTGTCATCACATCTTTATCAGTATAATGTTGGTTTTGTATTTGAGACCTAAACATCTCACCCAACCTTCTTTCTGAGTCTGTGTGTGTGATATTAATATGTAAAAGACACTGAAAAACTCATTGGAAATTGAACATGATGCCTCCAACTACAAAATGTTTATTCCAAGCTTTACATGCATTGTTTTTGTTCTCCTGACTCAGTAATGCTGCTTTTTTCAATGTGGGGGAAAAAAACTCAAACATAATGCAGCTTTAATAGAACTGCCAACAACCAATATCTATGGAAAGTGCAAGATAAATTTGTGGTGTCACATTAAATAATAGCTGAATGGATGAGATGCACTCACAGCGTGACTGGTATGCCCTGGAGGCCTCCTTAAACTGCTGAAACTCCTTGGCACAGTTCTGCTTGTAGCTGGGGCCTTCACGCTGCTGGCAGGCACGAGCACGCTCCTGCACAATCTTCACAATCTCTTGGTCCACCTTACTACAAGACAACACACAGTGACATTCAGTGACATTACAAAACAAATCCATACCCCACAACAGAAGAATATCACATAGTTGACACTTACTGATCTCTCCGCCACTGCATCTCTGCTTCATAATAGCAGACATAGTCACCCTCTTGGCAGTCGATCAGCTCTGGCACCCGGCGAAACTGCTGGTGGTAGTAGTAGTACTTGTTCTTGCTCCGGATGCTGTCGATAGCATCTAGGGGAATAAAGTAATACATCAAACAAGAAAGGAAATAGGGCTGTCTGATTAACCATATAGTTATTGGTATCAGCGTAACAGTTTCTGCAATAACTGAATGGAACAAATTACATTACACATGCATGGTGCCAGATGTAATTAGATTGGAAAAATGCATACTGGATATGCAGGACAATGTCATTAATAACTGGACAAATATTGTAAATGTAGTTTAACTGCACAAAAGCTAAATCTGTACATGATGTTTATCCTGCCAGAGATGCAATGCAAATGTATATTGTAATCATAACCTATCGCTTCTCGCATCTCCATCACAATACCCTATTTCATCGCACAGCATTTTACGTGTGCATATTGTGCAGCCCTTGGAAGAAAAACAAGAAAAGGAAGCAAACAAAGTAGCAGGAAAACTTCTATAGCTCACAGCTCTTTCCCAGCAATGTTAATTAATATGCAAATCGTTATCGCGAGTTTATCGTGGATGTCGTTAGTAATTAAAAACACTTCCCTGCATGTTTGATGACAAGGGGAGCATAATTAGTCCTGTTCAACCGGATTTAGTGCAGCTCAATATGTGAAATGACGAATACAAATCATTGTATTAACAGTTTTGATTGTATTTTTCTAAATGTGGAACTATTTTGACTGTTCCAACTTCCCATTTGCCAGAACAAAATAAACATCGTGACTTCTCGCGCATCGTGAAAACTTCTTGATAATATCGTGATATTACATGTTTGCCGTATCGCCCAGCTCTACTGCAGATGAACTGAAATCATACTTTCTTTGGCTTTAGCAACCTACAGTGGAGGCCTAGGGATGAATGTTGTTATCAGCTAGCTGGTTAGCTCTCTGGCTAGAAGAAGGTCAGTCGGCTACACCGCTTTTACAAAACCATAGCTGGTGCACTGGTCCTGACTAACGTTATGTTCTAAGCATAAAGAACCACACACTGCAAGCTGTATCGACAGAGGACCGCACTATCCTAGCACTGAGTGTGGCTGAGTGGACTCACTCCTGAATGTGGTCACTGGGAGATCCACCGAGTAATAGAACAGATTGGATAGAATTAAAGCCGGGTTAGGAAGAACCGTCTGCTTATCCACCACTGGAGTCTGGCGTGGAGGCTCGGGGTACGCATCTTTATCGTAGTCCTGCGGCATTTTCAAAAACCCGAAACTGAAGAGAAATGTTTAAAAATATATCCCTTCTGTTCGACCTCGTCCTCTCCTCTCTCCACACTGCGCCTGCGCGCTTCTAACAACATGGAGGACAGGTCAAAGAAGGAAGAAGCAGAAGAAATCGCTGTCAGAAATATAAAGTTAATTTAACAGTACTGTTAAATTCATAAATCATACAATCATATGAAATCATAAATTCATACAGTAACCATGCTGGAATTTTATTTTAAAAATGAAAGAAATAGTCTTTTTTTACCAATAAGAGGTCGAAGGTAAAAGGTCATGGGCAACAAAACATCTTTTTTCCACTAGATGTCTCTGTTATTCTACACTTCAGCCAAGGCGGATTTATTTATACAGCACAGTTCATGTACAGGCACCTAGAGGTGGGTAATCCAGGTCCAAAAAGTAAAAACAGTCCCCAGGCCTTCTCTAATTTGCTCAAACCAGCGGCAAAGGTGTTCAGGCAGTTGGAACAAAATCCTGGGGAGGGTTTTTACTTTTTGGACCTGGATTACCCACCTCTGGGCAGTTCAATGTGCTTTACATAAATAAAAGCAAGAGGAACATCAAAAACGGAAAATAAAGACAAAGTGCTTGACGTTATGACACAGGTAGATACTGTAAGTAAGGCGACATATATTGTGATTTTTTAAAATACATATATTTTAAAAAATATGTAATATATTTAAATATGTTTTTTAAATATAATTTCAGGAAAACCGTTATGGTAAAAAAACACACCACCATATGCATAAAATCTGAGTAAAATTAAAAATTGAATGCCTGAAGATTACTACGCTGCTATCTAGCGGTCAGGGGTTTAAACAAGACACAAAATAATCCACTCTCTGCCACCATCTTTGCATGAAAATTACTGATAAATTTTATAGTGTTTTTGAGTATCACAAAAAAAAAATCGATACAGTATCACAAAATACAATATTGCGACAGAGCTAGTGATTAAGAGAGTAAAACAAGATAAAAATCCAAAAGAAAAGAAAAGAAAGTACAGAAAGTAGAATAAAAACATACAAGGAAATTAAAACAAAGACTTGTTATTTAAGTTAGCTTATTATGGGTAGAAGTGCAAGTTTTAGAGAGAAATGATCATGTTTTTTTTCTAATACCAGTTGGGCTAATATCCTGATAACAACACAGGTACTTTTAAAACTCTTCTCGTGTACATCAAAATATAAATTCTTTGCAAATTTTTACAGTGAAAACCGGTAAATCTTAACTGTCAAAAATTGGTAAATAGACTTTGCATTAGTATTAAATAAAATGTGACATAAAAAGGACTGTGTGGTGTGAAATATCCATATCTGCCGTTAAAGAGCGTTCACTTAATCTCACATAGCTGTCTGTGAAGATAAAATAATAATATTCAGTTATTGTTTAAAAAACGATATCAATATGTTTATGTGAGAATCAGGTGTGAAAAAGAAATCTAAGAATCAGATGTATCAATACTTTAGTATCAATCCACCCACGTTTACTAATTAAAAACCTTTGGAAGCAGACAAGAAGTTTATTTTAGCCGTGTTGCAGTGTACAAATCATTATAAAACATCCTTTACCTGAATTAAACATTCAGGCAGTTCATTTTGTGTATAATGTTTTGTTGTGATTTACTTCATGTAACATCTGAACTAATTCTGATTCAGAGTGAAAGTGACAGTAAATGAATGCAAAATTATACATTATTGGTGAACCTCTCTGTATACATCAGGAATAATGTGTTAACCTTTCAATAGATTCTTTGCAAGAGTCAGTTACTGTTACAGTTTAGCTACAGTTGGCCATAATTAGCATTTCACACACAAATCCCACAGTGCATATCACAATACTGAGAAATACATAAGCGTCATCATACTCATCAAGCACAGTCCTGCACTATGTGATGCAGCTGAAACCTTTTAATGATGATGCATTTATGGCACATACAAAGAGTGTAAAACCTTTATGTACAACAGAGTTACTGTATTGCATAGGTATAGTTTCAGCTGGGTTCTGCATTAGCTGAAATATTGCTAAATAGAGTAGATCTACTCTTACTAACCAGCTGTCATAACTAATCTTTCTTTAAATGTGACCTAAAATATTAATATAAGAAGAACCTGGGTATATCATCATCTATGGTACATAATAATATAAAAAGATTCAGAGAAATCTCTGTATGCATGAAACAAGGCCAAAAACCAGTAATGGCTGGCCATGATCTTTGGGTCCTCAGGGGCACTGCATTAAAAACAGACATGATTCTGTAGTGGAAATCATTGCATGGGCTCAGGAACACTTATAAAAAATCATTGTCTTTGAACACAGTTCATTGTTGCCTCCACAAAAGCAAGTTAAAACTCTACCATGCAAAGAAGAAACCTTATAACGGGAACCAGAAACGCCACCACCTTCTCTGGGCCCGAGCTCATTTAAGATGGCCTGAGGTGAAGTGGAAAAATGTCCTGTGATCCCATGAATCAATAATTGAAATTCTTTTTGGAAGTTATGGATGCCACTTTCTCCAGGCTAAAGAGGAGAGGGACTGTCCAGCTTGTTATCAGCACTCAATTCAAAAGCCAGTATCCGTGAGGTTATGAGGGTGCATCAGTGCACATGGCATAGGAGACTTGCACATCTATGAAGGCAACATTAATGCTCAAAGATATATACTGATTTTGGAGCAACATTTGCTGCCATCCAGGTGACGTCTAGTCCAGACCTGTCACTTACTGAAAATATTTGGTGCATTACGAAATGAAAAATACAACAAAAAAAGACTCTGGACTGTTGAGCAGCTGAAATCCTATACCAAGCAAGAATGGGAAAACATTTCACTTTCAAAACTACAGCAGTTGGTCTCCTCAGTTCCCAAACGCTTACAGAGTACTGTTAAAAGAAGAGGTGATGAAACACAGTGGTAAATGTGCCCCTGTCTCAACTTTTGGCATGGGCATATATTTTTGATTTTCCTGCTGTAGAACTCCAGCTAAACTTGATAATTAGCTGATGAGTTGAATCAGGTTTCCTTAAGTAATAAATTTCACCCACCTGTGCAGGAATCCAGCCCTCCAGGACGGGAGTTCCCCACCCCACGATTATGCTACATCTGTTTCTGTGGTTAAACTACAATTATTTTCACAATTATGCTACATCCATTTTCATGGTTATGCTACAGTAATTTCCATCATTATGTGACATCTATTTCCATGGTTACACTACATCCGTTTCCATGGTTACGCCTTACTCATTTCCACAATTCATCTACATCCATTTTCATGGTTACACTAGACTCCTTTCCATGATTGTGCTACATTTATTTCTATCATTATGCTACATGTATTTACATTGTTACAGTACATCTACTTCATGGTTATGCTACATCCATTTGCATAATTACACTACCCTCATTTTCATGGTTACACCACACCTATTTTTAATGGTTATGATATGAGTAACACGTTTTGAGATCGTCTGCACTATTACTGGCTCAACTTCATAGTGTCCCTCACTTCCTGAAACCAAAACTATGCCCTTGCCTTACTGACTCATTTCTCCACAGATGCTGGCTCGCTCCAGAGGGTTCTAGGACCCCCTTCAGTGTCGCCACTTGGCACTATCAGGCTTATATGAAAAGCAACACCACTCCTGTACTGGGCCAGCCACCAATTTAGAGTGCTTAAACTCTGTGTCGTCTTAAGTATGAGTCTTAGAACAGCACTTGGTGCTGTCTCTTTCTGCCTCACGCCTGGACCGCAAAGACAACCATGGTCAGTGGTCTCTCATATTTTCAAACTTAAAGCTGGCCTGGGGGGGCTTTCAGTGCTATGTTGTTTGTAAGGGTTGTAGAGAAGTGAGAGTGATGGCCTTTAACCTTAAGTTGATATTTTGTGGTTGTGTAAGGTGTGTTAACAAGAAAACTCTGAGGTTCTTCTCGAGTCCATGTGTAGAAGTGACATGGCGTCAGTGTATTTTCCATGCAGCCAGTGTCCAGGGACAATGATTCATCCATGAGTTGTTTATTGACAGGTTTAAATTGTACATATAATCAAAAATCTCTGAGCTTCTTTTCATATATTTGTTATTTTGTATTGTAAGATTCTTGGTAACCCCTTTAGGTCCCAAAAGAACAAGTATCGATATTGGGTTGTGAGTTTCCACATGTTCATTTATTTTTACAAAATAACAGCATGGCAAGTGAAAGCATCTTAACTGTGATTATTCTCATTTTTCCATTATTGTAGAAAGATTATTTAACCCATTTCTAGCCTTTTGTACTTGTTTTAGGTTAGTTCATCTAGTAAAATTACCTTATTCCACTGGCAGATAGCTTTTTTTGCAGTGTAGTAATGCATTTGGTTAAATTATAGGCTACTGGCCTCATATATGTCTTGTACAGTAAAGCAACACAGTACTGCACCCAAACCCAAAACTCTTGTGAAAATATTTTAACTGAAGTCTACAGAGCGACTTCCCACTGCTCTGTCTGGATGTCAGTATTTGAGCATTAACTGTGCAAAAAGGTTTATATTGGGGGATTTGTTCCGGTGTATTTACAAATATAAGTAAATGCTAATACCTTTACTTCTATTCAGTTGTATTTGTGAGGAAAGGAATCTACTTTTTACTCGGTTACACTTTAGTCATAAACATTTACTTGCTTATCTTGAGATTAATTTTATTATAACATATTGGTGACAGCATCTGTACGTCTTTGCGATTGGTCATGCTTAACTTTAATGTTTTATTTTAGATCAAAAATGCATCAAAAAGAGAAGAAATAACAAATTGAGTTAATATGCTACTAGATGCTAGGTGGACTAAGAAGTTCCACTGCAGTCTGTAGTTTTATGAGCTGCTACTTTTGTACTTCTACTAAAGTTGCTTTTTTTGGAAAGGTATTTTTGCTTGAGTCGTTATTTCATTGCAGTACTTTTACTTGAGGGTTTTTCAATGGGTTTAAGCTACACTCCCTTAGAGAGGTATGAGGGTCAAGACATTCTGTCCGTACAACAGCTACTCTGTCTTTTCTTGACATTTGCCTCTGGGTCAATGCCAGGTGGACAAGTGTACCAAAAACTCTGACTGTGTAAGACCACAACCTGGAATGGCTACAACAGTGTCATAAAAACTAGCTCTGAGTGAGGGGGGCATGTAACACTGATTGTGTTTTGCTTCGTTTTGTTTTTTTTGTTCTGTTCTGTTCCAGGTGTCAGCTGTCCTTTGCATCTTTATATAGCGTGAAAGTATAATGCATTTTTTTCCATTTCCTATGAAGTTGCCATTTGGGATACAAGGTTTGCTTACTACAGGAACAATGTAAATACTGTTGTTGTATTTTTGAATCTTTGTTAATGCATTACAAAACGAACAAGCAAACAAACAAACAGAAATAAACAAAAAACACAGCCCACAGGTTGCTGTTACAAATTATGGAGCTGCAAAACTGTGACTCATTCATGAGAAATGATTAATGCAGCATTTTGTTTCATAAGCAGTGAACAGTTTTCCTAAAAAAAACAAACAAAACAAAACAAAAAAAAACAGGTTGATATAAAAGCCTGTGAAATTTTGACTGTTTTCTTGGAACATCATGATGGATGCACAGCATAAAGTGTTAAATAAACTCCTTCAGTGAACACTTTCCACAGAGATCAGTGTAGCAGTTTATGTAGTAATCCAACACTGGGGTTTTTCCACTGTCAGTGTGCTTGAACTTGAAGTTTATTGATATGTGGATGTGTTGTCCTCATAGTCTCACCGTAAATTCCATGCCCCGCGTCACGGCCACATGGGCTTCCTGCCCCGTAAACGGAGTAAGAGGCATCGTGGGAAGGTACGCAGCTGGCCCAAAGACGACCCCAAACAGCCTGTACACCTCACAGCGTTTCTGGGCTACAAAGCTGGCATGACCCACACACTGAGGGAGGTGCATCGCACCGGCATGAGTGAGTCACCATCTGTGACATTAAAACAGTGGTTCCCAATCCTGGCCCTGCACATTTTACTGCTCCCCACACACCTGAATCAGCTTAACAACTAATCAACAAGCCCTTTCTAAGGTGAAGTGGGTGTGTGAGAGCAGCAAAACACCAAAATGTGCAGGACAGGGGTCAATCAAGGAGCTGGGTGGGAAGCTGTGCATTATAGGAATAATTTGACTAAATGTCCACAGTTTTCCCCTGACCCCAGCTCTCTAAAGCAAGGCTAGTGTAGCTACCAAGTAATAGAAGCACATAATCACCAGTTAGCATCGGCTGTAACCATCATACACTTACCTCAAATTACATCAAGTTAATCGTAAGTCAAGATTTGTAATCTGATTTCTCATACAGATTCAAAATCTGACTTCTCTAGCATTGCCACCTGTCCAAGATTTTCCTGCATCAATAACTGGATTTTGGTTGTCTATCTAGAATTCCTGGACTCAAAATATCCTGGAATGCAAGTATTTTCATATGTCGGCATTTCTTTTGAAGTTTAAACTGCTTAATTTTATCCAAACCATTTGTACACAAAGAATGGGATTGATTGGTTCAGAAAACCTTTAACATAGAGACAGCTGTTTTGGAAAAGTGCACTGTTGGTGACATGTGTAGGCTCTTGGCAGCACTGCATCACAATAACTTAGAAGAATCAGTTCTCTAGCTTAAGTGACATCTATTTACCTTAGATTGCACCATGAGCACATCCACTGAATTTATATAAAAAAAAAAAGAGCCACTGATTTATTTTTTCAGAAATTTTACGATGATGAGGTAGCAAACCTACTCCTGCCAGAAAATAAAAGCTCAAAAAATGTAGAAAAAAGGTCAATAATTCAATTGGGTGGTCTGAAATATCCATACAGTTCATATAGAAGTTGAGTTATTCTAGATTTTATCTCTATCTGAAATATTTTTTTTAGAATTTATTTACTTTTTATCAGGTTGACAGCCCCTTCACGTAATTTCTAATGGAACTTCTTATGTAGTTTCTGACTGTATCACTTACTGCCTATAAAACTGTAGCAAAGTACATAGCAGTAAAGTACAGGGTGATTCAAAAAGATTAATTCGATTTCAAAATGATTCACTTGTAAATCATTACAGAACAATGCAGTGAATTGTAAATGTGCTCAATATGAACCTCCTTCAGCTGTACAGACAACATCAACGTGCTAGTCAAATTCATCCCATACTCGATTGAGCATGTCAGGTGTCACTGTAGTCACGGCTCTTTCAGTGCGATTTCGGAGATCATCCAGTGCCGTGGAACCAACGACGAATGCTCTGAGCTGGCAATGAAAATGATGTTGCACAGTTATGATGGATTCACTTTAATTGAAGTGGAGAACGCAAAACGCTTTCTGCTCGGGGGTTGACATCTCCTCGCAGACTGAAGGAAGCCATCTTCCGGTGACTGTCAGAAACTCTATGACCCCCTCTTTCAATTGGTATGTGATTGGTTCCTAGGCGCCTTACGGTTGTAAAAATTTGGCGCTTTGAAATCAGATAAATCTTTTTAAATCATCCTGTATGTCACTTCATTCAATTACAAACCTGTACTACTTTCAAAGCAGCTGGCAGAAATAATTCATGTTATCCAAGCAGACTATAGTTCTACAATCACTCAGACATTTTAAAGGGATCATAAAACTTGTTAGGCCAATTTCATCCTTCATCCTTGAAGTGACGGTGCTAGACAGTTGTTAAATATCTCTTCTCTCTCTCACAGAGGTAACAAAGCGAGAGGAGGTGGAGGCAGTCACTATTATCGAGACTCCTCCTCTGATCGTGGTGGGAGTGGTGGGCTACATCAGCGCGCTGAAGGGTCTGCGCAATTTCAAGACCATCTTTGCTGAGCACATTAGTGATGAGTGCAAGCGTCGATTCTACAAAAACTGGTGTGTTTTTATGTGTATTTGTATCTGTACTTGTTATATCTGGCATCGCATGTGTAACAACTATTTAAAGGGAAATTCCAAAGATTCTACAAAGTTTCTGCACAATTCAATGGTTGAAATACAAACAAAGTCATTCAGAGTGGTTTGATGTGAAATGGTTCGTTGTAGAGAAATGTACCTACTCAAATTTCTTTGCAGTGATAGTGATAGGAACCAGCGGTTGTGATGTCTACAACGCAAACATAGACATTGTATTTACTATCCAAAACGACTAGTAAACCTACATGTATCTTGGGAGTTTTACAGTAATATAAAAAAATAAAACTTTTCTTTTGGGACTGTTTTGCCTCGCCATAGCCTGCACGTACTTCTTCAGCATGAATGTATTTGAAAAATACCTTTACGCCAAAACTTTATCTCAAAAATATTGTAAAACAATGTATCAGACATCAGGCAGCATTTTATTGACCATTTAAATGATAACTTTCCGTAAAAGTAGTTTTCAGAAGCATTAAACTCTTCAGATGTCTGGTTCCTATCACCACCACTGTAAACAGTTCTCACTCTGTCAGTTTTTCTAGAGTGGAGCATTTCGCATCAAACCACTCTGAATGACTTTGTTACATCTTAAAGATGTAGTAATGCAGAAATTTTGAAAAATCTATGTATTTTGTAAAAAGAATAGAACACCTGCTGAGTTAATATAAAACATGCTTATAATAGAAGCCAGTGCTGACGCCACTGACCACTGGCTTTAGTTATTTGTGTTTTGAGTCAATTGGTTTTTTGTTCTTTTTTAACACTATCATGGTCCATTGTAATCAACCGTAAGCTGCAGATACTTCAGGTAGAGTTTAGGTTCAGAAACTTTGGAATACCAATTTAACTACATTGGACCTTGCACATTCACTTCAGTTTTCATTCCTACAACGACTCCTCCTCAGGTACAAGAGCAAGAAGAAGGCATTCACTAAATACTGCAAGAAGTGGCAGGATGAAACAGGCAAAAAGCAGCTGGAGAAGGACTTCGCCCTGATGAAGAAATACTGTTCTGTGATTAGAGTTATTGTCCATTCTCAGGTAACTTCTTTTTCAAGTCTTTTTCTATAACCAGCCATAAGCAGACATATCATGATAACAGTTGGAGGCCCAGTATTGAGTCTGAAGGGTGGATTATTTATTTCAGAAAATTCATAGGCTGAGATGTGAAAGCTAAAATCAGCAGCCAGTGGCCTGAAGAAAAGAGATTTTTGGCTGTACGGTCCTTGGCAACTGAATAATCTTGAGGAATTATTAGGTGCACTAGACATTTAATGAAAGTAGCATTTAATGCATAACTTTAAGGAACCTTTCTACACTGTAGAAAATGGTTATAAGCAGTTCAACCTAAAAAATACTTCATATAGTAGTCCAGTCAATTTCAAATAAACTTACTATAGTCCTAGGATAAGACTGAGCCCTTATAGGGTTTTCACACTCTGGCACTGTCATACCACCAAACTTCTATTTCAGTTCCAAGATTATATTTAAGTCAGAGACAATTTGAAGGTCATAGTTCAAAGAATCTAGATATTCCACTAAATTCTTGACCAAAATAAACTCCAAATCAAAGCTGTGGTCTCACTTTATTTGGATAGTCCCCTATAGATTATCTACAGATGTTCAAATTGTTCACAAACTAACTGGTAAAACTCAGTTGATTTTAAACAGTAGTGGGGTTAGGGTTAGGATTTGGTTGGGTTTAGGTTTTGGGTTGAGATTAAGGTTAGGGTTAGGATTAGAGCCAGCTTTACAGTTAAAGAAAATTATGGTTAATTTAGTAGATATTTAGTTAAATGTAACTAGTCAATTAAATATCTGCAAAGCATCTAAAGTGGACTATCCAAATAAAGTGTTACCAAAGCTGCTCTAAAAAACAATGGTTCTTTAAGTGGGTCAGTGGTTGGATACATAGTTCTAGAAAAAACCTTTAACTGGTCTGGAACAGGGTTTCCCAATCTCAGTCCTGGAGACCCAACACATTTGCACAGTTATGTACTTTGTCTCATCAAGCACACCTGATTCAATTCCATAACTAATTAACAAGCATGTTGTTGGCTGGGTCAGGTGTGTAGAACAGGGAAGCCAAAAAACTGTACACAGAGCAAAGGGTTGCCAGGACTGGGATTGGGAATATCTGGTCTAGAACTTTTACATTAGTACAGTTTCTTTTTTAATCTTTAAAGTGAAAAAGAATGGAAAATCATAACATATTTTCATTCTGTATAGTGATGTATTTATGAATGCAACATGTTATGAGCGAGAGTCTCTCACAGTAATGTCATCAAAACTTGTGTTTTAAAGATGGCCATGGAAGATTATGGTCAACAAAGAATTTAGTTTTTTTACTGATATGATATAATAAACTGTGCTAAATATGATGAAAGACATGAACTAAAAAGGGCAATGTTGATTTCAGGTTGGCTTTAAAAAGTTTCTTCACACTCATCTCATTAACTAAAGATGCTACTTTAAAGGCCCATCTGTTGAAAGGCTCTTAAGGAAACTAAAAGTGGTTCTTCTATGGAATCGCCCCAAAATCACTTCCTTTAAGTGAGCAAGCCTGTGGCTGTGAATCTGCTCTTACATTGCTATTAGGAAGCCACAGAATCTGACCACACTCTCTTTATGTCATGCAATAGATGAGCAATCCACTACACTTCTGCTCATAATAGGCGTTCCTCTCATATGTGTGTTAGCACGAGGCTGCGGTTTCAAATGGCAGTTTAAAAATAAGCCACTAAACAGAAGCTGGCGGTGCTTACTCATAGCACTGAGCTATTAGATAGCCATCACACACCAAACACGCTTCTTATGGTGCACAGTCATTTTTTTATGCCTAGGTGTTGGCGATCGTCCCACTGGGAGGGGAATCATGTAAACAGTTGATTCATATGGTAATAAACAGAGCTACAAAACAGCTTGGGTGAAGAGTAAAGTCATTTCACACTGAATGCTCTCTGGTGTGTGGGTACTGTCCTATGCTGAATTTCAATTTGGCACACTATTATCAACCATAGCTTTTCTCTTTAAAGAGCATTATTCATTAAAGTGGTTTGTTCTTTTAGTTAAAGGACTCATAAAATTAAAATTTTGTTTGCTTTCTTGAAATGAGAGTTTGATGTAGTTTGTACAACGGTAGGAAAGATTTGAGTTATTGGACTTCATTACTTTCATTTAGACTTCCGAAGTACCTGCTACAAATCTCAAAGACCAAGAACTTTTTCTTTTTTCTCTTTCCAATCGAGTTCTTTTGCATTTCAGTTTGTTTTTATTAAAACATACAAATTCATATCAGTGTGAAATGTTGAGTTAATGATTTTTGGCTCCTTCTTTTTATACTCCTGGATATTTAAACTTTGTTAACGTTTCAAAAGTGCTTTTTTATTTCCCAGTCCGAACAGGGAAATGCATTTTGAATTAATCAAATTTTGCACACAATTTTGTTGGACTCTTTGTCGACATGCAAATGCACTTCCTCAACCAACTGCTACTGCTACAGCTTTGGCTGCATTGACCTCTGCTACAACTCAGTGTGCAGCACTATTCTGTCATAAGTTTATAATTATCTGGTCAAATTGTGTTGTGTTTCTACTATTTATAGTTGCTGAGTTAGCTAGCTGGCTAACTGGACCAATACAGATTTTTGTCAGCCTTAATCAAAACAAATGTCCAGTGTGACTGTAGCTAAAGGTTAAAGCTTAATCTTGGTCTGGGAAAACAATTCACTGTGTTTTGAGTAAATACTTTTAATTGTTATGTCTGGCAGCGGGGTTGTGATTCTTAGCATCCTACTGTGTGTTCTTAGCAAGTAGCCATGTGTCTCTTTGTGCAGATGCGCTTGCTACCCCTGAGGCAGAAGAAGGCCCACATCATGGAGATACAGCTGAATGGTGGCACGATTGCAGAGAAGGTGGACTGGGCCAGAGAGCGACTGGAGCAGCCCGTGCCCGTGTCCTCAGTCTTCTACCAGGACGAGATGATTGATGTGATAGGGGTCACCAAAGGCCATGGCGTGAGAGGCAAGATAAATGACAGGACATTTCCTCACAGTGCTTTGTCCTCTCCGAACAGATGGAGCACTGATGCAGGGTTCCTCTGGGAAACTGCTCAGGGAAACCTGCTATTACTACACACAATGCATCACCTTCAGTGGCGAGCTGTAGCATATGAGCTAAAGATTTATGACATTATTAAGGCAGAATGTTGGTGAATTTCCGAAAAGATACTCTCTGGACTATTATTTAATAAAATCCATATGTGTTTTTTCTAGTGCAGTTCTGCATGAACACTCAGTCCAGTTTGCCTGGAACTCAATACTGACCATGGTTCATAGCATTCATTTGATAGTTCAAAAGGAAAAAAAACACATTTACACAATTTTCCCTTTACTTTAAATGGAGTAGTGCTGCTTCTTTAGCTTTGCACTGGAACAACAAGGCTAACGCAGACAATAAGTAATGGCTTATATCTCACTAATTAGCACTTTGTAAACTGCTCGTCTAAATCATTTCAGACATCCCTCAAACTGAGTTAAGTTGTTAAAAATCTTAAATAGACTTGCTTATAGGGCCCCCGGCTCAGTATGACATACTAAAATACATAAAAATGGACTGAAGTATGTATTGTAGTAACTGTAGTAGCAGTCATCAGGCCTAAATGTTGTCCATTTGTATAGATAACAGTGTCATACAATATCAGAATTCACATAAGCAAATCTGTTAGAAATTACTTAGAACATAATGATGATTTAAGCACGCTGCTTTCACGATGCTAATTGCTGATCATAAGCTTCCATTACTTGTTAGCTATATTAGCTTGGTTGCTCCAGTGCAAAACTAAAGAGGCAAACTTTGGACACCAAACATGTCTTGCCTGATCATCTACATTCATGGCAAGTAGGAAACTGTCTTAACTGGATTTTTCACCGCATTATCCCTTTAAAGCTGACTTGCTTATGCACCTCTAGGGGTAACGAGCCGCTGGCATACCAAGAAGCTTCCAAGGAAAACTCATAAGGGCCTGAGGAAGGTGGCCTGCATAGGAGCCTGGCATCCAGCCCGTGTGGGCTACACCGTTGCCCGCGCTGGCCAGAAAGGCTACCACCACCGCACAGAGCTTAACAAAAAGGTCTGATTTTTATCTTTCTATAACCCTAAACACATATTTTCATCAGTGAAAACACTTTATCAATTCTCATCTTGCTAACTGATCTGTACAATCTTTATCAGATCTACCGTATTGGAAAAGGGGTTCATGTCCAGGATGGCAAAGTGGTTCGCAACAATGCCTCAACTAACTATGACACAACCCAGAAGACTATCACTCCTCTGGTAATAAAAGTCTTCTTTAAGAAAAGTCATGACTCACTCTAGTTATGATTTTCTTCTTCAATGTTTCATTTTTACTTAATTTTTTTAAATGCAGCTTCTCAGTGTCTAATGAAAAATCAGCACTGTCTGTTTGCATGGTTTCCCCCAATAGGGAGGCTTCCCACGTTACGGAGAGGTGAACAATGACTTTGTGATGCTGAAAGGTTGCGTGGTTGGAGCAAAGAAACGAGTGCTTACTCTCAGAAAGGTATGATACTGTTAATATGATGCATTTGCAGTATATTGAAAATTAATTACGTATGCAAATATTAGAATATATTAAGAAAATATTGTATTACTGTCCTTTCTCATACGAGAGGCTTGGGAACTTTTTCATGTTGAATACTAAATGTAAATGATGTAAACAGAGCTGTCCAAAAGTCAGAGACCTTTCATTTATTTAATTTTCATTTAAATTGGCCGTTAAGTACATGTTAATAATTTTTCAGCAAATATTTCAGACGATGAAATATAAGATAACCCACTTGCATAAGGAAGGAGAAGGTCAAAAAAATAAAGGAAAAAACAGGAGTTTAAAAAATATTAAAAGATATGGGATTCCTAACAATCACACAAGACCTGGCAGACTACCAAAACTGTCAGCATCAGATAAACAGTACTTAAAGCTTTTATCTTTGAGAGAGAGGAGATCAGTGCCTCAGATCTGAAAAAATCCACAGGTGTTTCTGTCCATCCTTCCACTGTGAGAAGACAACTCAACACTATGGGCCTGAAAAGATGTGTAGCTGTCAAGAAGGCCTTACTGAGAAAAGGAAATAAAAAAGAGAGAAACATGTACATAATGGCCATTTTGGCTGTAAATTAGATAAATGAATGGTAGTCTTAGACTTTTGTATAGTACTGCATCTCAGCACAATATGGCTGTTGTGTGTTGTATGTGTAGAATTGACATCATGTTAATTTGGTCAAGATGTATACTAATTATGCTCACTTGCATCTGTGTCTTAGTCCCTGCTTGTGCAAACCACACGCAAAGCCAAGGAGGCCACTGAGCTCAAATTCATCGACACCACCTCCAAGTTTGGCCATGGTCGTTTCCAGACGGCTCAGGAGAAGTTTGCCTTCATGGTAAGTCATTGCAGGTTGGAAATGGGAAGAAACAGGGGACAATTTAAATTTGAATTATAACATTCTGTGCAGTTTTATGCAAATCTATTTACTTCTGAACTGAAGCTAAAGTGAATGAAACTGACTTAACAGTGAATCTGAATTCTCTATTCTTCCTCACCCCACTAGGGCCCTCAGAAGAAACACCTGCTGAAGAAAGCACCTGAGCCTGTCTCTGAGGAGCCCATGTGAGGGGCAGTGTTCTCTTAACTAATAAGCACATATTCAAAAATAAAAGGCCTTTCGGAATTTCAGAAACTGACTCTGCACATTTTCTTCTACATCAAGCGTGAAATGCGATGTGCAATACTGTTACCTAATATCAGATTTCCACTCATTCTTTATTGTCCATGAACACTATGTTACAACGACATGCAGGACTACCACAAACTCACCCATGAAAATATTCCATCTTAAGGCCAGTCCATAGCCCAACTCAAATTCTCAAAATCCTTCAATGACAGGATAACATGAACTTAAATGAATGAGTGACATTGACATGTATTCATTTTTTGGAATATCCTTCTAGACGAGATTCTTTTCAAATTGCTGGCCCTGCATTTGTGCTAAACACATGGTATCTGTGTTTATTGTTGAACACTGTCTTAAAGATCATTGCTTCCACGTCTTCAGTAGATTTTTTCTGATCAGTATAAGCTTATATTAAAGGTTCATGAGTCTGTTAGCACAGCAGCTGATCATTTTCCACACAGGATCAATCATTGTCCAGTTTTGTGGCTAGTTCACATGGAGCTGCAGTAAACTGCCCACATACCCATATGAGCTTCATTTGGAACACACACTCTTCTCTTCACCTCTCGGTGTGTCCTAGTTTCACTCCAAACCTCCACATTTCTGCTGCTCCTGACTTTCCCCAGAGGACGGCTGGGATATGGTGGCATTGTCCATTCCAGAGGACATAAGGGGCAGGTACAGGTCATCCATATTGGGCATCACAAAAACTTTCTGTAAACGTAAAAGAAAACATACCAGTTATAAAACTGGCTTTTTTTTTACTCAGTGCTAAATTAAAGTAAATAAATAAATGACAGTATAATTCTTATTTAAAAATGTCCAAAGTAGGGGTGTAAATCTCTGACCTCACACTGTTTTTCGATTTGATTATGACCCTTTAAAAAGGTAAGAACAAAAATAACAAATAAGTGCATCAAGCAATTAGATTGTCTGGTCAAAACTGTTGTATAATTCTAATCTCGAAAACTAATTAAGTTGAATCAGCACCCTCGGACTGCTGCATCATCCAGTATTTTTCACGTAGGATTACTTCAGAATACTTTCCATTATTTACTTGCTTGCTATTACTTGCTATTGATATTCCTATACTGTAGCACTACTGTAGTAAAGCCTGAATTGAATAACTGCTGAATACCAACATTTAATATTGTTTTCTGCCTTTGAATAAATGAACGTCACATCACACAACAGAGTGAAGTACAGAAGTCATACTGTTCTGTGTGGGTGTGTGTGTGTGTGTGTGTGTGTGTGTGTACTGACCTGAAACTCACACTGCAGTTTTCTCTCTATCCACTCGGTGACATGAGTGAAAGTGACCTCTCTCTCGCCCAGCATGGGCTTGACTCGCAGATCCAGCCTCGGGGGAAGTCGGAAACTGTACCTACACGTAGACATGCAAAAGTGCATCAGGACAGCAGCCATAATCCTAATAATACATTAAACATTTTGTATTCTTAAAGAAATAAAAATTTGACAGGAAAGTCGTCAGTACCATATTCGGTCAGTAGGGGGCGGTGGAATGTTGACAGCTAGAGTTCCAGAGAGTTCCAGCACCTCCACAGTGAGCAGCAGGGGAGTGTTAGAGACCTCTGCAATCTTCTTCTTGATGTACTCGTTCTCTGTGGCCTTCTGGAAATACTTAGACTTGGCGATCTTGTCCACAAAGCGCAGAATTTTCCTACTGGTGCTTCCACTGCCGTGGCTGTAGAGATAGAAATCAAATTGAAATACTGACAAAACTTTTCTGTTACAAACAGAGCTTAAAGGGGAATTTCATTCAGAGAGGTTTGATGCAAAGTGCAACATTCTAGAGAAACCTGCAGAGGTGGTTGTGACAGGAATCAGAGATGCAAAGAATTGTATGCCTCTAAAAGCTTACTTACAGAAAGTTATAACATAAACTGCATTTGAATATGATGGCTGATGTCTGAGACATTGTTTTGGAGAAGTTTTGAATTAAGCTTCTGGCGTAAAATAGAACAGGATTTTCTCTCTTTTTTAGTGGGGCAGTGGGATTGCTGGGGTGAGATTATGTTTATGTTATGATGTGATATGTGTGCTGCTGTTGTCTTTAATGTTATGCAGACTGTTTCAAATACATTCAGGGCATAGAGGTACACAGAAGGCATTATATATAAATAATACATATACATTATATTTAAAACCTAAGAATTATATGTGTAGGTTCTGGTCGCTTTGATAGTGTGGCATCCACCACACGCTCCGTGTTGCAGAAGGGGCTTTAGGGACGTGGATGCAAAGCTGTGCCACGCACGTTGCCCCCTCCTTTAGAAAAGACAATTGTTGCAAGTCCCTTAGCTAGAGGTGATATTCCCCGCTGTTCGGGCTGTTTTTCTAAAAAAAAAAAACTGGCTGCTGGTTCTAATAAAAGACTATTGCTTTAAGCAGAAAAATTGCATCCTCCATGTCTTCCTCTGGTTTGTCCCCAACACAACATCACAATAGCAAATAAAACTCTGGACTTCATCCATGATTGTAAAGGCGTAAAGGCGTATGAACTGGTAAGGTTCGCAGAAAAATCAGCTGAATTCCTCTTTAAAATATTTGTCCAGGCCCAACACATTGGACTTTGGAATTGGTAAATGCAGGTGAAACCCTTTAACAGATTTTAGCCTGCATTTACCCCAATTTAGCATTTCTCCCTGCTTTATTCTTCCTTTGTTCTTTTATTCCCTTAGGCAGTTTTTAACAGTTTTGGCACACTGTAGTTACTTGTGATGTTGGCACCAAGGTCCACTGAGACCAACATGAGAACAATGAGTTATGTAATGTCATTGATGAATAAAATTGTCCAATTAAAGCTTAATTTTGGATTGTCTAATTTTGGTTTCCACTAATCCAACGAGGGCTGTTACTTCCGCTTGGCAGCTTAACATTGATGCTGGGTCAACTTTGCAGATGGCAACCATTAGGAATGCGGCGATTTATTCTGTACATTTTTGTGCAGAATTTTGTTAAGCTCGGATTCAAAATTGGGTGCTGAGGATGAGGCTGAACTTCAGGGCTTCTGACAGGTTTAGTTCAAAATTTCACGCCTGATTAAAACTAGGTTATCATGGTTCTGAAGGGGACTGCTGTGGGAAATTCCAGATTCAGGATCAGTCCATTAGAAGAAAAGATTATTACCCATCAGACCCAGGGGGCGTGCTCTTTTCTCCCAGAGTGCCCTGAGGCTCACAGGGCACAGGATCCTCTTCATCAGACGAGCCTGCGCTAGATGACTCCTCATCACTGTCTGCAATGATACACAGCCTTGGCCTAGAGCTAACACACACACGCACACACGCATACAGACAGATAAAGAGTTCACTTTCAGGAGACAAAGCTGTAACTTCATAATATTAGCTAGGACTTCACCTGTAGCCTATGCTATGTGACATACACACTAAAAAACAGTACTTATTTCAAACCTTGTTCTGCCAGACAGTTGAGCCATGTGGTTCAAGTGAAGGCTGCAAAACAACGTGCAGAGAAGTGAGTGAAGGTATGTTGGTCTGTTTGAGAGGGTTGGAGGGTTTAAAACCCGATGCTTCATAGTGCAAAAGATTCTAATCCAGATTGAATCTAGTCTCCAAAATATAGTAATGAAAAAGCCCTAATAATTTAACAGAAGTTATAATCAAAATAAGTCCAAATGTAATATTACATGTTATATAGTTAGCATATTCCACTTTCAAAAATCCATCATGGCTAATATGTTTAGCTAGGATAGGCCAAAAAAAATCATGTGAGAGTATACAAACAAGCACAGAGGACACTGTCTAGTTACAGGTCGTGACTGTCGAATTAATTTATACCTTAAAAATTTCATATACAGTTGTACGCACACGTTTATATACCCCTGGCCAAATAACATATTTTGTTGATTTTTGAAGTGAAAAGAAGTAAAAACTAACTCTGCAGCAAACTATTTTATTTTTTTCTGCAAATGTTAATGCACAGTTACTTTATATTTGATTAACTTAAAAATAGATAAGTTGTAAATTGTAATTGTGGCATGTGCAAAAGTTGATTGACTTGTTAGTAGTAGTTAGGCAGGGCAAGAGTTATCCTAGATGATGACAATTCCAAAGTGTAATAAATTCTCTGACTCTTCAAACTTTGTTCCAACGTTCAGCAACCATGGACTCCTATAAGCAGCTGGCTGAGGTTTTGAGAATGAAGCTAATTGATGCTTACAAAGCAGATGAAGGCTATAAAAAGATATCAAAATGCTTCAGGCTCATGCTTTTCACTGTCCAAGATATCATTAAAAATGGCAGTTAAGCAAACTGTGGTCCAACAAGATCTGTAAGACCAAGAAAACTCTCAGATCATAAGCTGGCCAGAAAGGCAAAGCAAAACCCTGATACAACAGCAAAGGACCTGCAGGAAGGTTTAACTGACCTAGGAGTGGTGATGCACCATTCTACCATGAGGTGTTGTTTGCACAAACATGGAAGATTCATCCCAAGTAATGTTTCTGTTCCAGAATAGCTAATGATGATTATGTTTTCAGTTTCATTTTTATTCCTATTGAACAATTTATTTCTAAATTTTTGGTTTTGTTTCCAAATCAGTTTGGAAATCCTGCATGTGACTTCAGGTTCTATGTTCGGTAAATGTTTGTGTTTCAGCATCACTTGAAAAATACCGGATATTGTCATCAGCCCACAGTTTCCATCCCCATCACATCCCTAGTGTTAATGCGGCAAGTTATTTAAAACCATTGTGCTGTTCATTGAATAACCTTTAACCCTTATGTTGCTTGGCAAACATAGTGGTCTGTCAACAAACTACATTGCTTGGGAGAAAAATCTTTGTTTACATTATTATTACTAACAGATTATTTAATGAACATTGGTGTATTTTAATATTTATGCTTATAAAAGCTCTGCCTTGTTTTGTGCCTAAAACAGTAACAGTCTAAGGCTTATTGCTTTAATCCAGAAGGAGGGTACGTGTTGACAGATTGGAAAAAAGAAGGAGAGATAGGAGAGTGATAGAGAAAAGGAGAGAAAAGCCTTCCAGCAGTGTCCTTCTTTAAAGACTTGCTATTCATTACTGCTCAGTGTCAAAGCTGACTGCAGGAGTGAATACACCTTCACTTTCCCACTCACACACATACACTTAGACACACAGTGATGAGAGAAGCCTCCTACCCCACTAGTCCACTGCACTCTGTGAGGTTCTCTGCCTCTGACACACTCTCTCTCCCCAGCTTTTGCAGATTCATCTTTGTCTCCAGAGTCATCTGTAGAGAGCCAGTGTAGACCACCTCCAGCTCCAGCCACAGGCCTACGCACACACAGAGACATGCCAACACATATACACATCAAGCTGTTGCCATGACTATGAAAAAGGCTGGTCAACCCAACCTAACCGAAGGACCTCAGTGAAACATTTCATGGATGTTCTTGCTCGGCATACTTTAGTCTGAAACTGAGTACTTCCATAGTGCTTCCACAGCTGCTTGTGGTGCAAGTAGTGTTTACACTGGAAAATGAAACGAGACGGCTCTTGGCTTTGACGTAAGAGTCTTGGAAAGAAAACTTTAATTGGTAATTAGTATGGAACACCGATCAGGCATAACATTATGACCACCTCCTTGTTTCTGCGCTCATTGTCCATTTTATCAGCTCCACTTACTATATAGGTGCACTTTGTAGTTCTACAATTACAGACTGTAGTCCATCTGTTTCTCTGCATACTTTGCTAGCCCCCTTTTACCCTGTTCTTCAATGGTCAGGACCCCCATGGACCCTCACAGAGCAGGTACAGTTTGGGTGGTGGATCAGACATAGCAGTGCTGCTGGAGTTTTTAAACACTGTGTCATCTCACTGTCCACTCTATTAGACACTCCTACCTTGTCAGTCCACCTTGTAGATGAATTATCCACCACCCAAATAGTACCTGCTCTGTGATGGTCCATGGGGGTCCTGACCACTGAAGACCAGGGTAAAAGGGGGCTAACAAAGTATGCAGAGAAACAGATGGACTACAGTCTGTAATTGTAGAACTACAAAGTGCACCTATATAGTAAGTGGAGCTGATAAAATGCACAATAAGCGTAGAAACAAGGAGGTGGTCATAATGTTATGCCTGATCGGTGTACATTATGTAATGGTTCTTTAAACCTTAAAAAGGTTTAGAAAGTAATTTTAGCACCTCTTAACACAGCACACCTCATCATTTACAAAAGTTTTTTAAGGACCCAAATGTGGTTTGTCTATATCATCGCTCCAAAGATCCTTTTTGGCACCTTTATTTTTATAAATGTTTGCAGAATGTAGAGTACTGTTAATACCTGTTTGATCTACTAGAATGGAGAAAAAAGTGTGAAAAGTGAAAAGTGTTTGCAATCATTGGTCACTGCAGTTTAAACATTTAAAATGTGTGTAATATGTTTTTGTCTTTCAGTAACTAACTGTAACAAATTTACAATGTTATTCAATACAATTTGATTCAAGTCTCGAATTTAACACGTTTTTCAATACAGCAAAAATAGTGAGTGAATGTCGGCACTTCATTTGTATGATAGTTTCCATTCTCAGTTTATTAGAGAATTCAACATTATAAAAGTACAATATTTGAGTCCAAAGCTATGCTTTATTGTGTCACAATCTAATACTCTAGCCATAAGTTAATATGATAGCCTCAAGCTAACACGCATGTCATGGTCCAATATGACACGCTGTGATGCAATTCAATACAATATGACTGAATGTTTTACTGTTACATCTTTATCATTTGCATTAGGCTATTTGTAATATTCAGCTAATGTTTTAAAATGTTACAATGTAAACTAAGCATGGTACGTAATAGCAAACTTTACTTGCTAGCTGATTAATCAAGTACTTTATAATCTTAAAGTTGCTAAAAAGGGTTCGGTGCTAAAAAGGGTGAAGTGATGCTGAAGATAAGGCATATTTGGTTTCCTAAAAAAACTTTCAATGGTTGGTACAATTCAACAATGTCATGTGTCACGTGGTGTTTCTTTTTAAGGCAGAAAGTTAGTGTGTATTGCGTCACAGGCCGTGTCATTTGTATATATGTATTGCACATTATTGAATTATTATTATTATTATTGAATTATTATTGAATTAAACCTATTTATTTAATCTAATAATCTATTGTATATATTCTCTCAAACACTATAATAATCACAGAACGGTCAAAAATATCACCCATTCTTAAGTTTAGTAGTGCCATTATTTAGAGACTGGATATTACATGGTAAACCATATATAACACACGTGTCAAGCTCCAGTCCATGCGGGCCAAAGTACTGCAGACTACAGCAAATTGCCTCATTAAACACACCTGATTCAGCTCATTAGCTAATTAGCAAGGCCTTCATGAACTAAATTCAGAGTGCTAGATGAGGGTAAAAGCTAATCTCTGCAGTACTTTGGCCCGGAAGGTGGCCAGTTTGATACGTCTGATATAAAATGTATTTGGGTCAGAAGTATTCCATTCTGTAACCCAAGATATTAAAGCATGCAGCCTGTGCACTATGAGCTTTGGTCAGTCAGACTAAGTAGATTAGAAGTTCTTTTGTTTGGAACAAAAGGAAGAGTATTATGGAGCTTTACAGAGTTTAGAGGGTTAAATTTGTAAACGAGAGCTGGCTTATGCAAGTTGCAGGGACCGTTAAGGTCAGTGTGATGTTTGTATGAATGTGTATATATATGTGTGTGTGTGTGTGTGTGTGTGTGTGTGTGTGTGTGTGTAAAATGCAAGCTGGGTATGAGGGGCTATTAAAGGGTACACAAATGCACTACACGTTGCATGACTATGAATTTTTATTAGTTGACCATTCAAAACATAGTTGACTAGTAAACTAGTCGTCATTAGCATTTTTAAAAAAGTGTCCAGGGGCTAAGAGTGGCGCAACCGTCTAAGTGTTGGCCCTCTCATCAGGAGATCGTGAGTTCGATCCCTGGTGATGCTACAGCCATCCGTAGCCGGGAGTCCAAGAGAGCACAATTGGCCTCGCTCTCTCTGGGTGGGTAGGATGGCCCCTCCTTCTCCCCCCATCACTTAACGCGATGCTAGTCAGCGCAGACTTCTGTTAGCTGACGTAACAGAACTGGCGGTTGACGCTTTCCTCCGAGCGCGTTCAGCTGTCCAGTGACGTTGCGTGAGCGGCAGTTTGAAAAGAAGTGGTGACTGGCTTCACAGGTCTTGGAGGAAGCCTGTGTTAGCCTTCACCCTCCTAGCGGTGATGGTATCGTGTGATTGGGGGAGTCCTAACTAGCAGGTGGAACTGGAGACGACTAAATTGGGGAGATAATTGGGTTAAAATCAAAAAAAAAATGTCTGTAGTAAACTAATCGTCATTAGCATTTTTAAAAAAGTGTCCAGGACGTCTGTAAAAAGTATTTTATTAGCTTATTGCTAATAGGTGCTGGGCCAGCAGATGCTGCAGTTTGAGCTGCACAGCAGAAGAGTTTTTAGTTGTTGTTAGTTGAATTTAAGTATGCCTTAGCCTCAGGCACTCTGTCCACAAAAGTACACAGACTGTCTGATGTAAACTGCATGCTAAAGTCACCACAGCCCTCCCCTAACAGAGAACTGTATCTGGCCATCAGTGCTTCCATGAAATGGCTTTATCAGTCCAAAACAATTGTTTATCAAGCTAAATGCTAGTAGTAAGCAGTTGCATCTCTGTAGATAAGCCTTTCAATATAATGTACAGTTTCTAAACCAGAAAATGTTCAAACATTAAGAAGTTATTGCTGAATATTGTTTGAAAGCGTAGACAGTAAGTTTGCCCCATGTTGCTGATTGCTACTTCACTTTATCCAACAAAAGTTTATTTTTGTTGCAGGCACGTTACACTAAACGGTCTGTGATCAGTTGATCTGTAAGTCAAATAGCCCTTTCCTATCAGAGACAGGAGTTTCTTAAAACCTACCCGGTCTGGCTTATAAGCCTGCATTTTAGTCCAGTTTTGCACAGCTAACATTGAAATTGGTTTAATCTTGTGTAGTATTGCCACACTAATAAATTGTGTTTGTTCATTGCCGTTTTCACCACGGCTGCATTTCAGGCCCTGTTCAGGCCCACAGCACAGACTAGTGGATTTCTAGTCGACTAGTCCATGCAACCCCAAGCATGCACACATTTTTAATTTTTCATCACAATGGGTGTATACTTATTGTGCAAGTGTGTGCATATTTTACCTCTTTGATCCACTGAAGGTTTGGAGGTACTCAGCACGTGCGGCATGCATGTGCCCATGTCCAGCTCGGCTAGGGTCAGCTCGTTCATGAAGTATGGCAACTGCCGGGAGACAAAAAAAAGCTAGTGTAAATCTCAATGACATAACTCATATACAGGAACTACAAAATACATTTAAAAGGCAAACTTACAATGATCTTCACAATGACATCTACACAATACCAATCACTGAACCTAAGATAAAACTTGCTAAGGCTAACATCTTTAATAAAGAAAGTGTCTGGATAATAAGGTCGTTATGCACGGTCTGGTAAACATCTCATTCTCAAGCTTAACGCCTCATTCCCATTATGGGTTCAGCAAGCTGAATCACTATTATGCTGCAAAACGCTTTGTGGTTCGGCTCCAGCTTGGGCGATCAGGAGTAGTTTTACAGAGAGAGAGAGAAAGAGAGAGAGAGACAGAAATGACATGCAGCCCTTTAGCAGCCTCTCGCTAGTGAACAGTGATTAGCCCTGGCAACCTGTACATGAACTGCACAACATCCACCTACTTACTGATTATCTACACAAAGTGGGTGGAATTCTTCTGGCAGCCCTGACACCCTTATTACAGGACATTTAGTACAGGACTTAACGGACAACTGTAATTAGCCTGAACCTTGTGAGCAAGTGAAGGGACAGCTACTGCTAACGCTTCTGTAACCTTGCATGATCTGCATGCACTGCAATAAAACTATGTGGAGAAAGACGCCACGCAAGGGAATCCTTTTGGGAGCTGCCCTTGCTTTGCCCAGTGTAAAGACCTTCGTTTCAGCTGACATGGCGAGCCTCGCCTTGTAGCAGATCCTGCTGTGCTTAGTTAAGCTTTGTTTTGCTAGGCTCATTCAGACACCAATTTTTGCCCTCTCACCTTGATCTTGGTCAGCTTCTTCTGGATCTTGTGGGCCACCTGGTCGGCCCAGTACTTCTCCCTCAGAAAGTCCCAGAAGATCCTCCCGATGAGAGCATTGATCCATGCTGGCCTGCTCTCACCCTGCTCTGCCCCCCGATCGCTGGACAGCTGCAGCCAACAGTAGACGAATGACATAAAGAAGAGCATCTATGCAGATGTTACTGCACTCCACAGTGCCTGGCATAAATTCCAGCATTTACTTTTTTATAATGACAAGAACTTCGTTTAGCATTACTTTAATTGTTTAACTGTTGTTCAAACAAGCCACATTATGCAATGCAATACTTCATTAAACAGTTTTATTGGTGGGATTTCTCGCACTGTGGTGATGCGGGCATCCGCATCCGAGTTACATACGTAGGTGAAATGTCCACACGCATTTGGACATGCACCAAAGGGGTCACCAAATAGTGATGATGAAGATCAGGGAATAGAGCCAAACCACAAGCTCTACTCTTGGGGCGAGGCTGAGCTGAGCCTCTCTGAAACAGATCTTAAAGAATGGCCATTTAAACACAATGATTATACACAATGATTATACACACCGATCAAGCCCCGCCCTCCGGGGGTCTGTCTGGGCATGTGCCTGTCCTAGAGCCTTTTACATTTTGGTGTTTCCCCTGCTCTAGTACACCTACTACCATCCAACCTTAGTCTTAAAAATAAAGGTGTTCAAAATAATTACTAGAAGCAATGCCATAGAAGAACTGCTTTTAGTTTCCTATTGAACCTTTCAATGGATGGTTCTTTAAAGAACCATTTTCAAAAAAAGAAATGCGCATATTAATTGTTTAAAACATTGTTGTTAAGTTACCCTTATTAATCCCACAATGGGAAAATTTCACCTCCACATTTTAACCCATCCATGCAGTGAAACACCCACACTAAGGGGAAGTGAGTACACATGCCTGGAGCAATGGGCAGCCCTAACCATGGCACCTGGGGGGCAGTTGGTGGTCAGGTGCCTTGCTCAAGGGCACTTCAGTCATGGACTGTTGGCTCGGGGGGTCAAACCAGCAACCTACTGTTCACAAAGCTGGTTCCCTAACCTCCAGCCCACAACTGCTCCTGTGTGGAATGGCTTTAAAGATCCCACAAAGGTTCTATCAAGGGCTGCGCAATATGATAATATTCTGTTATTATTGTGACAATTTACATCACAAAATGCTTTTCTGAGCATAATATGGATCTTGTGAGTACCTAAAGAACAGTGATCAACTACGCGTTAGGCATTATTAAGCCAGTAGAATAGAGTGGTGAAATGTGTGAAATGTTGAATAAAAATTGTTTCACTCATAGTTTTTATAATACATTTTTTTTAAGTGAGATACAGGTTCTGTTCCAACTTAACAAACTCGGAAAAAACATATTATGTATCGTGAAATTGTCTTCAAGTAATTATGATGTTATATTTTTAATTTATATAATGCTGACCCCTAGTTATATGTTAAACGTTCATTACCACTTCAAGTTTTGTCCTTGAACCATATGTTGTTGTCATTCAAGAACCTTCATTTTTATCAAGTGTATTCACCTAATTTACAAGCCCTTTCTCAGTTGAAGCAGGTCAGGACAACACTAAATAACACTAAATAATGCAGGGAAGGGGCATTCCAAGACCATGATTGAGAACCAGTGACTTATAAAATGTGACACAGCAAGCGGCCTGCCTGATAATCCAGGTATTGAACTGACTGGATTTTGTGTCCCAGTATCCAGTGTTCTGCTGAGCGGGTTTTTCTTCAGCTCATTTTCCAATTCAAGCTGTTGTTTTGTCTATTGGTTTGATCAATATGAATGATGGTGGATTAGATGAAAGGTCTTGAGTTAAACAGGGCTAAAATTGGATTTCTAGAATAGACTGGAAATCCGAGAAAGACATCAAGGACTGTATAGAGAGTGTTTTCAAAAATACACCTCTAGGCTATTGTCTGCTGTCAAATGCAAATTTGGAAACTTCACTGTAGTGATTCATCAATATTTTGTGGTAGGCTCAGAGTTCTGGGTGTCTCACCCTGTGTGTGTCAGTGGGGCTGCCTGGTTCGCTGTGGCTGGGACTGGGTGTAAGGCTGCAGCTCTCTGACATGACAAAGCGAGCCATGTAGGAGCTGTAGTCCAGCAAGATCTTCTCTCTGACTGAGCCAGCCAGCTCCCGCAGGCCTAGCATGGAGGCCAGATCATCAGTACTGCCTCGACTGGACCCTTTAGCACTGCACACCTCTAGAAAGAGAAAAAGATGAAGGAAAAAAAAGAATTTTATGTGAAACCTTTTCACATAAAAGCCACTTTTTTGTCATGTTAAAGCCAATGCTGTGCTTTGAAAGGATTCAAAGCACAGCATTGGCTTTAACATGACAAAAAAGTGGCTTTCAGTAGAGTGATTTAATTTTGCTACCTGAACAATGACCATAATAATCAGTAAATCAGAATCAATTTCAGCTTGTCAACTGAACCGGGCACTTCTTTATTCAACCTGTCTATATACACACCAATAAGCCAAAACTTTATAACCACCTGCCTACAGTGCTGTTGGCCCTCATGTCATGTGCTGCCAAAACAGCTCTGACTTGCCAAGGCATGGACTCTTCAAGACCTCTGAAGGTTCCTTTTGGTATCTGGCACCAAGACATCTGCAATGATGTTTAGGTAGGTGGCTAATGTAAAACTGATGTCTACATGAATGCCTGGACCCAGGGTTTCCCTGCAGAAAAATGCCCGGAGCATCATACTCCCTCCACTGGTTTGTCTTCTGCCCACAGTGCATCCGGGTGCCATCACTTCCCCAGGTAAATGCTGTACATGTACCCAGTCCACGTGATGTAAAAGAAAATGGGACGCATCAAACCAGGCGACCTTCTTTCATTGCTCCAAGGTCCAGTTCAGATGCCTGCATGCTCATAGTAGGTGGTTTTAGTGGTGGATGAGTGATGAGCCTTGGGCGCCCAAACCCTGCTTCCAGATCATGGTTGGTCCCTCCACTGTCAGTAGGTACTCACCACTGCTGACCACAAGTACTCCATAAGCCTTGCCATTTTGGAGATTCCCCAACCCAGTCATCGTGCAAAAAAAATGTGACCCTAGTCGGCATCACTCAGGTCTTTACACATGCTTTATCCTGCATCCAACAGATTGATGGGAAGAACCACCATCTTCTTCCTGTTCACTTACCGTCTAATATACCCCAGGCCTTGACATGCACCATTGTTGCGAGATAATCTATGCTATTCACTTCAACTACAGTAATAATGTTTTGGCTCATCAGTGTACAGTTGGATACTGTAAGATATTTTATGTGATAGTCGTAGAAAATCTAACATTTGTCCCACATTCCATAATTTTTTAGTTTTATAAAATATCACTTAAAACATGTTTGCAATAATGCTTTGCTCCAATCACCAAACTTGTTTGTTTAGTTCTAAAAAGTGGTGCCATTGAGGAAACATAACTGGTTAAAGAGCTAATGTAATGCACAAAAACTGAAAGCGCTGACAGTGAAGTCAAAAAAGAGAGTGAAAGTCTGGCTCTCTTATAATTCTCTTAGAAGATATATAAGCTTCTTAAAAATAAAGAATGTAAGAAAAAGGCTACAATAAGTTTATATTATCTTTATAGTCTTTCATTAGAATCTCTTTTTTTTACATAATCTAGTTTTAGGCTGCTGGCTATAGGCCTTCTGTAAATTTCATTTGTACTCTGCACTGTAGAGGAGATTTACAGCAGGTTAATAACAACTATACAACCTGTTTATCATCAAATCACACACAAACATTTTCTAAGCCACTTATCCTTCATTCTATTGACATGCTTTTCTATGGACATTAAATCAGCGGTACATGCACAATTGAGCACATGTCAGCAATGGATGCACCTTAAAGTAGCTAAATTCACTAATTAGAAGAGGTGTCTAAAAACTCTTGGACATATACTGTATCTTTTGATACTGAATATTAGCAATGACTCAGTTGTGAGCCTCTGCACCTGTCTTGGACTCATCTCTGCTAAAGTGGGGCTTGGCCTTCGAAGCTAACAGGAAGTGCTGGTACCACTCCTCTTTCTCTCTCCCTGTACGCCCAAACAGGTAGAGCATGGTGGTCTGGCCTGCTTCCTTCTCTGTCTGTGGAGGTTTCTCTGCTCTCTCGCTGTCTTCCTCTGCTCCTTCCGCTGGCTCACTGGTTCCCTCGTCCTCTTTGTGCTCTTCTTCCTCAGCCAGCATGATGCAGATGGGATACTTCTTATTCCACACTCTCTTTTTTGCCAAAACCTCTGGCAGCAGAAAAACCTGTCAAAGGTGAAACCATTTGACTATAAGCAGTCTGTGGATACAAATTAAAAAGATAATCTTTATTTTTTGATAGTCTTTGTGCAGTAAAGATGCCACAGTTCGCTCAACAAAATGTGACCATTAATTTAACATTAAAAAACATACATAAACATAGCTGAGGGTTCATCAATAGGTATTTGCGCTTACAGTGTATGAAACATAAGAGTTTAGTCTTGACCTGACCTTGCTGTTGGTCAGCTGGAAACTGCGTGAGCGCACAAATGTGGTGTCATGGGCAGGTTCGTGTGTGCTGGCTCGGCGTGTGATGTTGATGCGGGGGTACGCCAGATGCAGACGGAAGCCTTCCAGGGTGACATAGACAGAGTGACACATTGAGGGGTGGTAGGTCTCCGGATCATAGGAGTTCATTTCATTCATCCAGCCCTGCAGTGCAGCACAAAGCACATGGGTTTAATAACAACTCACAGTACTGAGTTAGGGTTAGGTTAGGGTTGCCGCATTAACATTCGAGTCATCTACCAATTATTTTAACAATTAATAAAGTAAACAGAGACTTTAAAAAGGCTGAACAAAAATTGATTTAGTGGACTAAATAATAACAAACCATGCATATATTCTGTTTAAAAAAATAAAACTGTAAGTTTACTCTAGCCAAAATGAAAAATGTACATCTGTTGTAAACACGCCTGCTCAGTTACGGTGGTCTCTAGAGTGAGATTTTCTGGTTTGAAGCAGTTATCGTGAGAGGTCTCGTGCCCACTTTTCCAAATTTACATAGCACTATAGGCAACGACAGAGATGCCATTCTCCCTGTTATGAGTGTACCACCAAAATGATTTTGGAGCTGTTATTTTAGGGCACAATTGTTACATAAAGTTGCTTTAAAGACAAGGAAAACCCCTTTCTGATTACATATCTTGAACGTGGGAGGAACCTTTGAAACTGCTTCAGGTTGATTTTTGGAGGCAGACTGCTGTGAAATGTTTTTGTTTTTTTTTCATTAGGTGGTGAATTCAGATGGATAGCTAACGTTACTGCTAGGAAGCTTATTACTGCCATAAGCATTGTAACAGTCTTCAAATAATCATTACGGTAGAAAAAATGGATTATTCAAGTGAAAGATAAGGAGGATAAGAAGCTAAAAGCTAAAGTTAGCAAGGTAGCTACCTCGTTATCTAGATACCTTACCTCAGTTTGGCTTCTTTTCTTTGTCTGAAAGTACAAAAAAATTGCACCTGGCATCCATTTTGGTTCAATCAATTAAGATGGAATCACTGTTTTCTTTACAATTTTGTTTGACAGCTGAGGAAACAGCACTAATACTAGCTTGGTTTTTTCTTAGCCAAAAGATAAGAGCCTAGCAGTCAGGATTGGTTGACATCACAAGGATTCTCAGTGGTTGTATAATGCATGATAAGTGTTGTGGTGAGAAAATGGTGATGAATAAAACATGAAAACGATATCAAATCATGTCAAACTGGAAAGGGTGAGGAATATAATGCTGTGCTACAGAATACTGCATAAAATGACTACATATTAAACTCTAGTTAGACTCAAGACTAAAATGTCCCACATATTTCCAAAATGGTGACCAGTGAAGGATAAAACATTTGTAACTTTCAAAGTAAGTTCATGAAGTATGTTTTGTCCCTTTAGTTTTTATGCTGATGCTGGATGCTGTAAAAAAATTTTATTGCAGAATAAATTTCCATAAAATAATAACACAGCATTAAACGTGCCTGAAGACTTTTTGCTTCATGTAGTGTTCTAAGAACAAAAGGGCTCACAGTTTATTTAATGATACTAGTGAGGCCTACAGGCACTTAGTACGCAACAGATAATGAGGATAATCACAGCCTTTTCCATGACATTCTCCCTCTCTGTATGGGGTATCTATTCTGAGATTTTCACTGGGGTGTCCATATTGTCAGCAGCACCTGCTTCTACAGGGACTTTCTTTGAAGCTTGCTGGGTACTGGCACCACAACAAACTCTTGATAAATCTTATCATGAAAAATTCTATGTGGAATTAAATGTGTAGAATGGGTGCAGGAAACATACAGAAACTAAGACAAGAAAATAAAATGCAGAAAAATACACCATTTGTGACTTATTTGTGATTAAATCTGACACGTTAAGAGGCATTTTCATGTCCAAGTTACAGCTAAAGTATGTATAGCATAGTAGCTCCCAGATGGGTAAATGAAGCTTAATTAGATGAAGAATATCTGGAGGGCAGTATAATTGTACTGAACAGATGTGGGCTGCAAGTCTCATTCATTCAATCTCTCAGGGAGTGGCATATTAATCACCCTTAACAGCTAACATCTGCCCCAACATGCAGGTCTGTGTATGTCTATGTGAGTGAGAAGGAGAGAGACAAAAGTACTGTATCAGCATAAATAGACAATAAAGGAAATCTGCGAGCAGAGTGATTTTTTGGACTCCTTTTCTGCTGAGATAAGGCATTGATATTGACTTTATTAATACCCTGTGTACATTAGAGGGTTTAAGTGGCACAAGTCAAATCATTTTTCCTAAATGTGATCTGTTTATTTTCATATCTATGTGAACACAAAAATCATATCTTTTCGGATCAGACTGAGTCAATTTCATACACTAGATGCTGGCCCTGTGTGTACAAATATATCCAGACACTCTTCTAATTACTGAATTCAACTACTATAAGGTGCACCAACTGCTGACACGTGTTTAAACAGCTTGTATAGTCTGGGATTATACAAGTTGTATAATAAGATATATATTGTAAAATGGGATTCTCTGGAGCAGCCACACATGAGCCTAAGGTCACCATGCCTAATGCCAAGCACTGGCTATAGGGGAACTGTGTTCTCTGGAATGATAGAGCACCTTTGGGATGAGTTGGAGTGGCGTTTGTCATCTAGAATGAATTATCCTAATGCTTAATGCACTAATGCTAGTGCATCAAATATAGAGACAGACAGAAAAAATATTAATGGGTTACGATTATAAAATTAATTTATTTCCCATTTATTTTTATTAAGCAGTGCTTAACTGCTTAAATGTACAAGCACTAACCTAATCTTACCTTTTTACCTGACCTTACTAATGCCCTTGTGTATGTATGCAATCAAATCCTCACAGCAATGTCTCAACGTCTAGTTCAAAGTGGTCCCAATACAGTAGAGGCTGTTCCTGCAGCAAACTCCCTATTAACATCCTTGATGTAAGAAAAAAAGTTAGATGAGCAAGTGTCTGCAAACGTTTGGGCATATAATGTATGTGGTCCTAGATCAGATACATATTTTATGGCCATGAATGGTCAGAATGGCCAGATTGGAACTTTTTTTTTTTTGTTTTTATACATCACGCTTTGTTGTAAAATTCAGATTTTAAGCGATTAACATCTGATTTATAAGCAAGGCAGAACGTTTAACAGCCGTGCTAGCTAGCTAAGTTAATATAACCTAGACCACAACTAATATAAATGCTTTAGAGTGGCTAAATTACGCTAAATCATCTGCCATGTTGGTTTTATGGCAAAAACAATCTGTTTTAGATTGGATTTTTGCCAGCTTGTCTGACCTCATGAACACCAGCGACCAAACACATATATGAGGTTAGCACAGATAAGTCAATTGAACAACTGTAATGTGAACATAGCTATAGAGTCACTCTATCTTGGCTAATGCCCTGGACACACCAAACCAACTATCAGCTGTCATTCACCGTCAGGCTGTTGGGGAGTGTCGGTGCCCGATCGTCAGGTTAGCATTGGCGATCAGCCATGAAAGAGGGCAAATGAGGAGAGACATGAATGCAAGAGGACACATTCCCAACGAGAAAAAAATTACATTGTTATGAATAAACATGGAAGCCCAGGAGCTCGTAAGGTGCTCTGACAACACAGTAACATGGGATATTCACTTATTTCATGGACATTTTTTTCTTTTTCAGCTGTAGTCTTTGCGCTGTGTTTGAGTGCACATTTATACCCTAGGCGAAAAACAACAGTGAGCTGACAGAATGCAGTCATGAGTTGAACATAGCTCGGGTTCTTAAACTTTGGCTTGATGTGTCCTGGGACGAAAACAAACCCACTTACTGACATGCTATAGACCACTGAAGTCATGTTGTCATTTTGTAGTCGGCGCCATGAAAGGTCTGAAAAGAATTTCTACACAAGAAGAATGAATGCAAAAATTACCTCTGTCGCATCCTGTAATAATCAGAAATGTTCCAAAGCTGATACGTTGTGCCCTGTGAACATTTTACTCTTGAATATCAGTGGATCCTCTGAATTACAAAGTCATTAAAGAGTCAAAATATGAATATTGCTACATAAGCTAAAGCAACTGCACACTGAATTGACGTCATTAGACTGGCAGTCTCCTCAAAAACATGCAAACCGGCACGCTTTGCCAGTGGTTCCATGTACAGAATGAGGGCAGATGAAAAGAAGTCAGAAATAAGGAATGTTTCCCTGTTAAGTTACAATGCAGTTATCTAATACTTTCTGAAACACAACAGATCTTTCCCTATTATTTGTATCTTGCTTTGGAAAGCTCTACAAACCTACCTGCACTACCTGCAAAGTATCCTATTTATTCTTTTAATGCTGGTAACATTTTCTGATAAGGATATTCACTAGTTTTATGTTAGAATTTGTTTGTTAAATAGTGTTATAATAACTGCTGCCCCATCTAAGGTGGAACGGGAAAACTCGAACAAGCAGCTGGCGAAAAATAAGATAACTTCAGCTTTGTCAAGTGTTAAAAGGCATGATAAGGGCTGAAAAGGTTGCTCTGTTTCTGCTTGACAGCTGGGTAACATTAACTTATTTTTGCTGTTTCAGGTCAGTATTGTTTTGTCCCATTTACATATGTTTATGATAACTAATCACAACTACAGCACCATTTAAGGTGGAACGGGAAAATTCAAACAAGAAACTGGCAAAAAAGAAGCTAAATCTAGCCTCATAGTTTTAACCCTGGTAGAATTTTTAATAAGCATTTTTAGGCTATCAAAATATCCTACCTAGAGGTTTAATTTATGGGCTTACCTATAAATAACCGTTACGGTAGGACATTTCGATAAGCCTTATTTTTGTGAAACTGGTGTGCAGTAGCAATAGCTTGCATATAGCAATATCAGTATTACAACTCTTCAACGACCATGTAATTCAGAGGATCCAGTGATATTCATCATTTTTATCTACCACATGGTGCGACAGAGGCAATTTTTTGAAAACCCCCATTCATTTTGGCGAAAATTGAACTTAGACCCAGAGTTCCTAATATGGGCATAATACAGACTACAGACGCATGACTTCAGTGGTCTATGGTAATAGAGAGTTCTACACTAACCTGCAGTGTTCCCAGATCTCTCTGCACCCTGCTAATGGAGTCCGTCGGCAGGCTATCGTCAGGGGAGGCAGCCAGCTTCTTCTGGGCATTGGCCGGTCGCCGCAGTGCTAGCATTAGTACCACTGCTAAGCCCATCATGAACCCACAAGCCATTCCCAGAAACAGTCCAGTCAGGTAGGATGACAGCGGTAGCACAAAGAAGCCATAGGCCAGCAGGCCGACGCACACCAGCCACCTGCCTGGACCTGAAGATGTCGTTTTGACAATCTTCAGCCGTGGATTTCTGAGTTCTGGACCAGAGTGTCCTTTAATCTCCACAACCTGCATAACGTCACCATAGGTGCGGATCTCGTAGCGACTGCCCTCACTTCCCAGTTTGCGGCAGAATTCAGGTGAATAGCTTGAAAACAGCCCTTTCCTTGGCTTCCTCAAAGGAGTCTCGCAAACGGTCGGCAGACTGCCCTCCTCGGTCCGAGCAGGTGACCCTCCTCCAGCAGGGGAATCGCCTTTCTGAGACTTGGGGCTGCCACCCCCCTCCTCGCCCATGATCTTACTGAGTACGCTGAATGGCTCCTGCATGGCCTCGGAAAATTTTCGCCGTGTGTCCTCCAGCTCGGCCAGCAGCAGGCCACTAGGCTCTGCCTCTGCCTCATCCCGGGGCTTGGTAACATGCTTCCAAGGCTGTAGGTGGAGTTTGGAGTCCGATCTGGAGAGGCAGACTTCAGGCTCTCGGCGGGACATCTCAGTGGAGAGGGACTTGACAAGGCTGAGCAGGGGCTTTGGCCTCAGCGAGGCAGTCTCTTTCAATGCAAATCAAATCAAATCAGCTTTACTGTCATTATACCAGAACAGCATAACAAATTTTTCCCACTGGTGAAACACATACGATCTACACAACAATACGAAAATGCAAGACACAATAGTTTAAAAAAACACTGCAGAACAAGAACAATCAGCTCAGGCACTATACATGCAATAATGTGGAATACTGGACAGTGTAAGGCAGTAAACATAATCCATTACTGCACAGATAGTACTGCAGGACAAAGAGCATTGTTTTAAAAGCACAGCTGAGGTTAAATTGTGCTAGATCAATCCAGAAGATATTCTGTCACCTTCTAGATAACCTATCCACCTATATTTGACAGTTTGGGTTTTTAAATTTGCATTTTCCATCTTAATGCACATTTTAGCTGTTTGATTTTAATTTACATTGTCTTCATTGGGGTTAATGTTTTGCTTGTCAAGAACAGATGCATGCGTTATAGGGAAATGTTACATTGGTTGTTGGGTTTATGTTAACCTATGTTCTCATTAATGTCTGCATGATCTTGCTACTGTTTCTCGACACTGCGGTTAGTATACTGCCATTGTGGTGCTGTATAGGCCTTTTTTAACTTGTTGTGATATCCTCACAAAAGCAATGACCACCCAAAAGAGGTAGCCAGGTAGGGGCCCACCAAACATTTGTGACCAGGGGCCCAGAACTTGATGACCCAGGCATCAACAACAGCCATCTGATTGACAGGTAAAACAATGAACCAGATATCGCTGCCTTAAAAGAAAGATTCAAAGCAGGGCTACAATGAAAACAAATTTGCAGGAAACAAATGCTTCCTGAATAACTTTTAGAAACATCATGTCATGAACTTTGCAAACTTTTTGTTCAATCTGAACTGTCAAATAAGTGAGCAGTGAAATCAGTGGCTTTTACTTACCGCGTGAGTCCATCTAATTGGACGACTAATGATATATGTTGTAATCTTACCCTTAACTTGAGCTTTCTAATGTCCAATTTATTTTTTTAGTTTTTTTGTAAGTGGTGCTAGATAGCTAGTTGTTTAGCTAAGCATATTCATTCACAGTCACCTCCTCTGCCCACTGTGAGTAGTTCTACCACCTTTCAAATTCCACTTTAAGCCCAGTATGTAAGTATCAAAAGTATAGGGTGTGCAAGAAGACAGTGGTAGTAGTTGTGGATCATGGTGGTACTGGGAATGCATTCTTGATATTGTTATAGTCACTGTATAGTTACCTTTAGACTCCATGTCAGAGGAAGAGGAGGAGGACTTGATGATGCTGCTGGTAGACGAAGAAGGACCATGAACGATGGTGCCAGGGGCTGAGGCTGAGAGCTCACCCAAGGAGCTGGGGGTGGAGGAGGAGAGGGGGAAGTTGAAGGCAGACGAGCGGATAGCTGGCCGTCCATCTCCTCGACCACGGGGTCTCTCTTTGGAGAAGGAGACGATGGGACCCTCCTCATCGCGGTCCAGGGAGAAGATGAGTTCACTGTCTTCCATGACTGCAGGCTGTGGAATGGACTCAGGTCAAGGGTGCTTACTGTATCTATGTCTGGCAGGCTGGTTTTGGGCTCTGGTGGCCATAAAGCTGGGTATGTAGTCTTTTTAAGTCATCTTCTCCACCCAAGACAGGAGTACAGCTAAAGAACAGCAAAGGACTGTGACATACAAGGCAAGGGTGTAGGGTGCAAGGTCTGTTTACAAGTGTGATTCCATTCATCACTGTAAAAGAAGCACAGGCAGACATAGTCAACACAAGCATATCCATGATCAGAGTTAGAAATGGGTAGAGAAGGTAAAAATAAGAAAACAAAATACAAAGCTGAGCCTAGATAAGGAACTGGAAAACTAGGACTATTAAGGAACATGACTCAGGTATGAAACACTGAAACCAGCTGACTGAAACATAATCCAATTTGGTCCCCAACTGAGTGCTTGTGTACTAGCTACCATTACTACAAGCATGTTCAGATTGGAAGTTTGTGATATGCAGCTAATGAAAACTGTATAATGATAACCACACGTTTTGTTACTGCTAACCCTTGCTGGCTAATGTTAGTTAACTGCTTAGGAAGTTGCACTGAAATGATGTGACATACTGTGCAGCAAAATGTGCCATTTCCATTTAAGATGACAGTTCCTGAATTGAGACAAAGGGAGAGACAAGACATACACACAACCAGCCTAATAACTAAACAAGACACAGGTGAGAGTGATGATGAGGGGTGGGACAAAAAGTTCCTTATCATAGGAGCAGCATTATAGGACAAGGGCAGAAAATGTATCATTTACTCCTGCATGTGAAGACATCGGCTCATCACATTTTGAGAATCAGTGTTTTCTATCAGCCTATTTTTTTTTGTCAGAACTACTAATGGAGGGCTGTCTCAACCCACATACACACACTGCTTTGCAGACTCGGCTGGCAGGGGGCTGATTAATGGCTTTAGCCTTAAGGCAGAGAGGACACACAAAGAGACAGACACAAAGAGAGAGAGAGAGAAAGAGAGAGAGAGAGTGAAAGCTCTCCCAGCTTGACTCTGCTGTTTGGCTGGATAAGCAAAAGTGAAGGATGTAAATAAAAATAGAACAGACAGAGAGAGAGAAAGAGGGTGGACAGGTAATGAGGTAGTGCCAGTCTATAGTGTGTTAGTGTAAGTGTGCATTTCTGTGTGTGCATGAAGCAGCGTATGTGCTAGGTTAGGGCTATGGTTATTGCCGGTACTTCTAGAACAGAACCACTACACATATAATAAGAATAACAGATTTAGACCAATTACAAAAGGACAATAAACAACAACAGTGTATACACTGTCAAATGGTTTGTCAGATCAACTTACTTCAAAATTCCTTCATGTGGTAACAAGTAAATGAACTAGTGTTATTCAAAACAAAAGTTACTTGCATCATTCATTCAAAGTATTTATTTAGGTTGAATAAAACAACCTAATTTATTTGTTACCACATGAAGTCATTTTTAGGTTGATCTGATGAGCCATTGTAGAGGAACCATTACATAATTGGATATCAGTCCATAATAACATAATTTTCTTTAACTTATTTATTTTTTTACCAATTCCTTCTTAGTTTATTTGTGGAAACACTAAATTTAAAAATCTATTTTAGAGCTTTTAACTTAACCATTTTAACCTGAATAATCTCCAGGACTTTTATTATGTCCTAAGGATTATAATTCAGTAATTAGATGGAAATAGTGCAAATTGGCTGAGTAATACTTACAGGAATAGTTTGGCAAAATATCAAATTCGCATGATTCTGTACAAATGCAGTCCAACAGCCAAGACATGTTTGGTGTCCAAGTTTTGCTTTTTTAGTTGAAAACTGGAGTTGTCAGGCTAACGGTGCTAACAAATGCTGGAATTAATTTGTCATCAAATCAGTTTTCATACGTATACGCCAAAATCTTGATATTTTTCGTTTAGTTTATGTGAAAAAGCTGTGTAAATACATTTAGAAAAAATAACTTGGTAAATTGGCATGGACATACCTTATTTACACATTTAAGCTAAAATTCAAATTACATTATCATCTGCATTAGATCCTGCTGTAATGCATGGACGGGTTTTAAAACGTCACTACACAGCCAATGCATTAGCACAGTAATATTTAAGGCTTGTTTACTGTAAGAGAATTAGAATTTGCCTGTCAAATAACTATAAACCAGGGTAAATGAGGTGTTTCATTTTGCAAAAAACAGAACAAAGAAGTCTACAGGTAGTCTGGTACGTTACCACAGAGAGTTCAGTAGTTATCATGCAAAATCTTGTGTAAGTGGTGATCATTTTCCACCTGACTATTACAAGTACAGTCTCCAGGTGGATATTTTAAAATCTACAGCTGTACCCAGAAACTTTTATGGATGACATCTCACAGAAGTGTATTACTCTTTCTCTGTCTTCAAGGACAAGGCTGAAGTTGGCTTCTTAGTTGTCCAGTTCTTATTCAAATTTTCCGTTCTGTTCATAATCAGGCACTGTACTGATCCTCTGAGTACACAAGCTTAGCTTCTTTACATTTGTTACCCTATGGTGTGTCTACGTTGTGAATTTCCTTACCCTCGTCTTTGGTAATGATGCGTGGAATTATATAACCTTGTGCTAAAGAAGAGTGATTCTGGTTATCCTAAATGGCTGCTCCTTCTATTACCTACACAGAGAAGTTTTTTTGTTTGTTTGTTTTTATAGTTCAGAGTAAATCATATTGTGTTCTATGACCTGAGACCTGACGTATCATCAAGTTATTGGTTCCTGGTTACAAATGTGTGGTGGGCTGTCTAGCTACCTTTTTTAGTGGTCAGTGACTTTTCATCATGTCACAGCAGGTTACCTAAGGCCTATGCACCACCACAATGGCAGCACAGTAACGGCAATAGCACAATTAGGTTCACAGGCAACACATTTACCCAATGAAGACAACATAAATTAAAATCGGATAGCTGAAATGTACATGAAGAACAAAAAAAACAGCAAACTTAAAAACTTGAACCATCAGGTATCCTAGCCAAAGCATGATTATATTTGGCTTTGGAAATGGGCATCCTCTAGTCTGTCGAAGTATCAGGTCTCGCTATTACAGATTTTCCAGGCATATCTTTTGAATATCTGGAGCTTCAAATTCAAAGTAGATTTACAGGAACGTAGCTCACTGTTAAAAAACTGAAAGCTTGACCAAGATGATTGAGGATATTGATAGTGTAACAGTTAACGAGTGGTGAATGGAGAAGAACATGAACTGGACATTTAGGAAAAATATGGAGATTATGATCATCCGTAACACAATAACAAATCAGTTCATTTTTCCTTGCTAGTAAAGTTCCCACCATGAGCCAAAACAGCTGTTTAGATTTTGTCACAATTTCTTCACTGGGGGCCCCTAGTGGTTTGAACCCTGGGCATGCGCCCATAAAATCCATTGGATGATCCGGGCTTGCCTTAATGCGGTTTGAGTGGGTTGAGAGAAGTTTTGGGCATGTATTTGTGGAAAAAGTTTGGGAGACTATTGGTTCCCTGTGTTTGTTAGACACATTAGCCTTGTAGCTCCAGTTCTAAACTAAAGGAGCAAACTTTTGGCACCAAGCACTTGGCACTTGGCTGACTGAATGCATCTGGGGTGAGCGGAAAATCTGATTTTTTGCCTAACTATTCTTTTAAGTTACAGGAGAAAGAAATGCCGGCAGTTCCACTGAGTTTAAAAGGTTAAATGTGGCACTTCTGTTTTGCTGGGGCATTTTGTGCATTGTAACTTGTTCACAAACCTCATTAAACTTCATATTGTGATAAATGTCATGTATTGTGAAGTTTTTTTTTTTGCCGTGCTGCTTATCCTTATTGTGAGCAAGCGTTTGTGTGCTATTTTCTTTCCCTGATTTAATCCCCTCTTTGACAAAAGGCTAGGACTCAACAGGTTCAGAGCGACCACAGCCATCATACTGAAGTATGTGAATGGTCAGAGATGGCCCTACAGAGCTATATTTGGCATATAATCTTGTGGAGGCTAAGAAGTGCTAGGAACGAGCCTGTTGCCACTCCAGTCTAAAGATTAGAAATGAACTGGGTGGATTAGCAAGCAGCTTTACAGCTTTCTTTCATTTAGTGACTCTGCTAGAAGACTTCATCCATCACAGTGAGATGATGAAGGCCTGGTCTGCATCCACAATTTAAAAAAGCACTGTGTACGACTTTTTTTATTAAAACTGAGTCAGGAGCAAAAAATACAGGCTAAAATATGGTGTGCATGTGCTGCTGCGAGTAAAGCTTGAAAAAATCATTTAAAAGTCGGGGTGTCGGCAGGATTTCACGGGGGCTTTTTGGACCACGTCATATGTCTTTACATACTAACATCACACACACAGACTCAAAAAGAAGGTACAGCTTGATGTTTAGGTCAAAATCAAAATCAACATTATACTGATGAAGATATGATGACAGAAGTAGATCATTCACTTACATCTTCAGAAGACATGTCCTTCACCAAGTTTTGATGGTGTTCTCGCATCAGATTCATCTGTTCAGGGAGAGGTCCGAAGTATTACTGACATTACAAATTGTTCCTCCTCATTTTGTTGAATGCAATTACATATTTCCACCAGAGAGGTCTCCAAATCCCCCAAACTCACAAAGTGCAGCTTTAATAATGATATACAATTACTTGATATTTTATTCGATACTTAAGAACAGACCAGAATAGCACACCAGAGCTGAACTCATCCTAAGTCATTCAAATATCATCATAAGAAAGAGTATTCCGTTCATTCCCTCACCTCCTCTCTGTTTCTGTCTCTGCCCACCCCTTTCTCTCTTCTGTCTATCATCTGTCTCAATTTCTCTTTCTGTGCTCCCCTCTAATGTCTGACTGCTCCACCGCTAAGAATTGAAATGATCCTAACACTATGATGCTACAAGCAACAAAACGTCTTCAGGCATCAGCTACTTCCATTCTATCTATCTATCTATCTATCTATCTATCTATCTATCTATCTATCACTCACACACACACACACACATACATACTGCAGGATTCGCAGCAGAACACACGCATTCATACACCCCTGTTGCTGCTGGCTTAAACCACAAAAATAGCACACAGCACCAAGAACACTGTCTCTGCTGCAGAACTATCCACCTCAGCTCACCTCAAATTAATAGGACTCTATTCATATTCACTCATATTCATATTCCAGGGCTTTGCCAGGAATTCCCTAGACAACAGTTTCCCTAGACAACAGTTTTCTTACAGTATATGTTACTGTAATAAGACCAACATACATTACTGCTCCAACGGTACATAATGTATAAGGCCTTAAAGGAGAGAGAGAGGGGGAGAGAGAGAGAGAGAATATGTTCTGCCCTCTTTAGATGTGTCATCTTTTCTCATTTAATGATAAATTTGTCACCCAAAGCTGTTTTCACACTGTTTGTGATCTCTGAATAAAACGAGCCTTGTGGCAGCCTAGCCAGACAGTAAGAGGACATGAATCATAGACTTAAGGGGGAAGAGAGAGAGAGAGAGAGAGAGAAATTTTTCCTATCATACTCATGTGGATCAGACTGGTATTCAACAGCACTGAGTATAAATCCACAACATTCTGCTACAGCTGTACATCTGTGTTTCAGAGCAACACTCGGATCGATTCCTATTATATATTCAATTAGAGCGAGGCCTTGTGAGCAAGAAGGGCAGTCATGCTCCACAAAACTAACTCTAACTGACCACAAATAATAGTTTTTGGGGGGTCTAGCAAAGGACTAGTTCATTTTATCCAAACCTTCACCCCCAACATTTATCCCATTTTATAGACAGGTCTGAGATCGACTGCAAAGGTCAGAGATGATCTGATGGAACAGAACGTAACATACTGAAAGATGACACAGATCAGATAAAATGCACATGCTGTACTAGGCCTGTACATTATATTGGTCATTAATCGTTATTGTGATATTTGCCTTTGCAACACTGATAATGCAAAAGACTGCAATGTGTAAATGAGCTCTCTAACCACAGGCTGAAAAACTAAGTTAGTCCATCAAGTTACTGAATAGTAAGTCTTACGATCTAAGGAGTCTGATATATACCTATGAGTTTTAATAAAAACATGGCATATGCAACATACAACATGTAGCAATACAATTCCAGAATTTAATTTTGTACATCTTGTTCCGTCCCACTGAATATTAACGAAACATAGTTGTTATTTTGAGTTAACCAGAACACTGAACTACTGCCTTAAAAGGGAATTCCATCAATTATTTATGCATTTCTGCATTACTCAGTCATTAAACAAAGTCATGGTTTGATGTGAAATGGTTCATTGTAGAGAACTTACAGATGAAGATTTTCTATACAGTGGTACAGGTGATAGAAACTTGGGGTCACGATGTCTACAACGCAAATATCACAAATATGCCCATTTTATTTACCAGTGATCTTACAAATCAAAACAAAGAGTTTTATATCCAATGCTGAAAATGGCAAAATAGTGATAAATCTGGAAAAAAAGCTTTCTTCAGGGACTATTTTGCCTTACAACACCATGTATGTACCTTTCCACAATGATTGGATTTGTAAAAGTTTTAAAATAAAAACTATTGTAAATCAATGTCTTAGACATCAGGCAGCATATTTGTAACCATTTCATGTAATAACTGTCTGAGAGAGAACTTTCAGAGGTGTAAAACTCCTCAGATGTTGGCCTTGTATCTTTTCATTGATAGAGTGATGAACTTCATCTGGGGAAATTCTTCAATCCTTTGCTGTTTTTCAAATATCACAATGTTTATTGCAAAACCCTAAAGTATCTGACACCCACAGAAAATACAAAAGCAAGAGTCATAAGTGAAAGCTAAAGCAAGCAAAACCAGAGGAATCCTGTTATTTTGGTGTACATCCATTTTAACTGCACTCACAGGGGTTGGGCAGGAGCCTTAAGCGTGACTAAATACGGCTGACTGTTTGGTTGCAGTAAAGATGGAAAGCTGTGTTGGTGTGTTGGCATGCTGATGTAATCAGACTGACAGACTTGCCTTTCAGGGAGCAGTTCATCAAGATTTAAGTGTGCAGCATGTCAATTAAACAGATGAACCAACATCAGTGCAGCCAAGGCCTGCTGCTGGAAGATGAATGAAAAAGCCAGTGACTCTCAGGTGGTTATGAAGTACTATGGCTGTCATTAACAGTTTGCTATAAAAATGACCATGACACTGCTGCCAAAATCTCACCCGAAGGCCTGAACTCACAGATAAATATGGCATTGTAGCCACTCAAGCAAACTGCTAGGAAGTGAAACACTAGCAGTAATCTGTCAGTCTCCTATAGCAGTTACTCAGCACTGTGCAGGATTTACAATCAGGATTGTGTTTATGCAGCCCATCAAGTGTTTAAGTGCATTTTGCTATTTTATTTTATTTTTTTTTTGCTGTTGTAGAATTTTGAACTTAAAATACGCTGGCATATGTAACATTTTTTATAACAAAGATATTGAAAAATGTTGTACATGTTAAATATTAATTTTAGTTCAGCTCAATGTGCGAGAGTTAAAGCTACACTATGTAAGATTTGTTTGTTAAAACTGAAAGAGTTAGAATTAGTCAGGAGGAAAAAAACATGTAAAAATATGGTGTGTGAGCAAGTCTCTCTCTTAAGCCTGAAATAATAATTTAAAAATTAGAGATGTCAGTTTGGATTTTCATGAGTCGTGAGGGTAAGGAGAACTTCTGACTAAAGTGAAGTTCAGTGCCGTCAAAGCTATGTATTTTTTTATTCTACTTTCATTTTAATTAAGTGCAAAGATTTTGTTAGTATGAAACAGCTATTTGGTAATAGTTATATGTATTTTGGGCATTTTGTAATGCTTAGCTTTACATTCATCAAATGAGGAGGTTTTGTCTAAATAACCTGTCTGCCTTTACAAACATTTGTGAAAGAATTCTGTGGAGTGACGAATCACGCTTCTCTATCTGGCAGTCTGATGGACGAGTCTGGGTTTGGCAAATGCCAGGAGAATGTCACCTGCCTGACTAAATTGGGCCAACTGTAAAGTTTGGTGGAGGAGGGATAATTATATGGGGGTGTTTTTCAGGGGTTGGCCTAGGACCCTTAATTCCAATGAAGGGAAATCTTAATGCTTCAGCTTACCAAGACATCTTGGACAACTGTATGCTTCCAACTTTGTGGGAACAGTTTGGGGAAGAACCTTTTCTGTTCCAGCATGAATGTGAGCAAGTGCACAAAGCAAGGTCCATAAAGGCATGGCTGGGTGAGTTTGATGTGTAAAAACTTGACTGGCCTGCAGAGGACTAGAACAGAGATTGTGAGCCAGGCCCTCTTGTCTAACATCAGTGTCTGACCTCACAAATGCTCTTCTGGATGAATCCGCAAAAATTCCCACAGACACTCTCCAAAATCTTGTACAAAGCTTCTCAGAAGAGTGGAAGCTGTTATAGCTGCAAAGGGGGACCGACTCATGTCATAAAAGCTCCTGTAGGTGTCATGTGTAGGTGTCTCAATACTTTTGTCCATATAGTGTATGTGTGGATTCGCTTTACTTAGTGTTGGACTTATGTCAACATGAGATTGTTTTCTTGACACTGCTCATGTAAAACATGTTGAAGAGCTACGCATCCCCTAGTCCAAGCCTCAGACACTGTGCTCACACGTACTTCTGATATCTATGGTAACCATTGTAATTTTGTCAGTTGCAATCTGACTGGCTATCTGCCCATCTGTATGCACGCATGTCTGTGCAGCAGATTTTCATCATTCCTCCAGAAAACACTTTTCCAAGCAGAAATGCATGGAATAACATTTTTAAAAGTTATTCAAGATTTTTCTTTAAAGCTCTTACGCGAGATATCCTCACATGTTTGCCGATGTGCATACCAATTTGTTTTTGTTGCAGTCCGGTTTTGAAAACAGCCTGCCTCTACACGCCACAAAAAACAACAGTCTGTTCTAGAAGCACAAGTTCATAGTGGACTTCCTCTTCTGTAATAACTTTCATCCTTTGAATCCCAAATTAATCTGAGCTCTGTGTAAAATTAGTGGACATCTGAACAGTAGAAAATTAATATAAGAATAAACACTGGCACAAGCCACCTTTAAAACAGCTGTTAGCATTATCTTGCTAGTGAAAATAGCTGTTTAGAGAAACATTAGCCACCAAATAAATCAATTCCTGTTTTATTTTCCAGTCCACTGACCAGTGAAATCAGTTGTTTGAAAGCATTTCTTCCAATATGATCATGTGATGGGTTGTTAGTGATATGTTCAACTGTTTCATGAAACTTCTTTCACAAAGTTGAGACACTTGCAACCATTTTACATTATGCAACTGCAATTTAGTTTTATGTAGGTTTAAAGCAACTAAAATTGCATGAATGATTCTGAGACTGTGTAAAACCAGCCTATGAGTTAGGGTAGACTGGGTCCCCAGTTAGGCATAGCTCTCTCAGCTCACTCTGAAATGCGCAATAACGAAGAGCAGCAGGTGATTACATATTGGTCTTCACAAACACAAACTGGAGGAATCTGTCCACATGCATCTGGCCCTGCCGTTTAAATGTGGTCAGAAGACTGTTCTGTCTTCCAGTTTGACAGTATAAGTGCACAGTCCTTAATTACTGCAGCATTGAGAAGTAAAGATTGAGTTACACTGACTGTAAAACATTTTCAAGGCCATTACTGAATTAAACGCTTTAATTCAGTGCCCTAATGTCATTACTGCTGACCACGTACGTGCAGCACATTTACGAGACAAATTATAGGCCAGATTATTTATATTATACACATATATCATGGCAGAATCTACACTGAAAAAGTAATGCATTACCTAGTTCATTGCCCACACAAGGAAAATACAGGACATCAACACAATTCTGTCACACCTGTGTATGGCACTGAAGTGTGCAGAATATAGTTACATCAAGTGCTTAAGAGTCTTAAGCGTATCATTAGAGGACGTGTGTATGTTCAGCGTCAACAACAGCGGCCTACTTTCCCCATACTGGCTTGGATAAAAGGCTCTTAGCACCAGGCCTAGGCAATAGGCCAAGGGTTAGTTATACATGGCAATGCTTACTGACTGAGATGAGCTTAGGGACAGAGTGAAAATGAGCATCCAGACACAGAAAGGCTTATAGGGCAGAGTGACAGCTAGAAGGTGGAGCTACTCTTCTGTCAGTGGGTCAAAAGTAGCAGCACTAATCACAGGACAGCAAGACTGAGGTCAGTAGGGGATGGGGGAGTACTAAGACTCATGGGTTCCAGTAGAGAGTTTACAATGCAAATATCCAGGTAATGAAATAATGTTAGGGCAGCTGAGTCTCTATAAATTGATAATTCATTGGTAAGTCATTTCCATTCCTTTGAAAAATTCCTTTGAATTTTTTAATTTATAATTTTACAAACTGCATAATTCAACCATTAAGATGTAAACAGTCATTCAGATTTCACAGGGGTGGTGATAGGAACCGGACATCTGAAGAGTTTAGTGCGTCTAAAAGCTACATTGCAGAAAGTTATTGCATTATATGGTTACAAATTTGTTCCGCGATGCCTGAAACATTGTTTTATGTTGTTGAAATGGCGGACAGATACTTGTAGGGTGTTGTGAGGCAGTTTGGGATTTTCTACTATTTTAAAATGATAAACATTACATATAAAACTTAGAAGACACAAATAGGTTCACTGACCCTTCTGGATAGCAAATAAATGATCTATTTTTGTGTTGTAGACAACATGACTCTTATCGCCTCTGAAAAGAGTCTGTAAATTCCTCTACAATGCACCATTTCACATCAAACGACTATGAATGACTTTCTTCACATCTCTGGAATTCCCTTTTTAAAAAGAGACATTTTGACAGCAAAAGCAAATAAATGACCCAAAAAGCCAGTCTCAGTGTTTATATACAGTCACTGAATGATATCTTCATCTTCATCTCAAGCATAGCATCATGATCACACACTAATCCTCACTTGGACACAGTGCTGGATTACACATATTTTCGCAGGCAATGACTACTGACGCCTGTCTGGGACCAGATTAATTAGCAGAAAACTTTCTACAACTATTGGCCATACATTCATTTTCTTCAGGGTTAGGTTTATGGGTTTCATCATCTACATCTCCATAGGCACACATGCCAGTTACTCAAAACCACAAATTAAGACTTTACATGCCTACATGTCTACATGTCTACTTTATATGTCTCCTTGCTGTGAGGATTTGATTGCATTCAGTCACAAGAGCATTGGTAATGTCAGGTACAGATGCTGGATGATTAGCTCTTCTTCACAAATGCCATCCCAACTCATCTCAAAGGTACTGGATGGAGCTCCACTACTCCAGAGAACACAGTTCCACTGCTCCTCAGCCCAGTGCTTTATACTCCTCTAGCTGATACCTGGCATTGAGCATGCTGATCTTAGGCTCATGCATGGTTCCCATTTATTTTACAGTGCTTTTCTATGGACATACAAGCTGTATGTGCACAACTGGACATGTAGCTAAATTCAATAATTAGAAGAGGTGTCTGGATACTTTTGGACATATAATGTATGCACAGTATTCATAATTAGGTGTACTGATATTACTTTTATTAAAAATTCGTTCTATATAGCACTAAAAAGGGTTCTACTTTTGTTATGATGTCAAGTTTGTCACAGTCAAAGAACCCCTTCTAGTGCTATACAGAACGAAATACAAAACATTCTCCCTAAATCTGAAGAACCATTCTTCTACGCAAAGGACCATTTGAATGAAAGCATGAAATTTCATGTTTTTTACGTTTGAGCAGGCAAATGGTTCTTTGAGTGTTCATGGCTCTATATAGAATAAGTGTCTTTACTAAAGAAGTGTAGCTCTATACTTTTCCTTTGAACTCACCTGAACTCGAGCGTTACGGGGGGGCAAGAGTCCAAAAAGGACCCCCAACAAAGCTCTCTTCTATTTCCATCGCATCTTCGTAACTGTAGTTGGTCAGAACACTGAGAGGACGGCGGATTCCTCTAGGGGTTTTCCGGTGCTGCCCTAAAACCCAGCGGCATCACTGATGTAGAGCTTCTGAAGGCTCTGCTGCAGAGAGTGCAGCACAAACGCAGTCAGACTGAGACGCTGAGGCAAAAGAAGCCAAAGCCCACGTTCAACTCGATGCCGAGTAAATATCTGCGAACATGCGCCGTACGGGTCACCACGAGGCTGCTGGACTCGTCCCGTACCTCCTCCGCTCTCTCGCCACTCAGCTCCAGAGAAACAATCTGATTAGGGCCGCGTTCAGCACTTTCTAATCCAGATTAAAGCGCTACAGTCATCAGCCGTGGCTCGCTGCTCCACTCCCCGCGCGCTCTGCTGCAGTGAAGCTCGCGCGGCTCCAGCGCTGCCTCGCGCAGCACCGCGACGCAAAGCTTATGTAATGTTCTCCAAACAGGTGGGCTAACACAACTGAAGGAAGGCCTGCAGAGAGAGAGAGAGAGAGAGAGAAAGAGACTGAGACTGACTGCTGTGCACCGCTGGCTTTTAAACAGGACTTTACGGTCGCCGAGATCGTCTTACTTTAGCAATGGGCGAACCGACAAGTGTCAAGTTGACCGGGCGGTGGGTGATGGGAGGGCCCTGTGCTATTTACTTGAATATATATATATATATATATATATATATATATATATATATATATATATATATATATAACAAAATTAATTTTACACTGCTAAAAAAGGATATGTTGAAAACATCTTAAATTCAGTCGATATATCTAATGTTTCGTATTTTGAGAATACGAATATATATATATATATATATATATATATATATATATATACGTATATATACGAATATTTTGTATGAATTTGATATAATTAGCTTATTTCTAGGCATTTTTGAGATGCTTTAAAGCCCCTGTCTACTCATTTTTCATGTTTCTCTTATAACTATTACAGCTTTTGTGATTTTGTGGTGTTTTTACTGTGAACTGGCAGAGAAAGACTGATTTGGTCTTTTCTGTTGAGAGATTAAAAAAAAAAAGTCTGCCGTTTTCAGTTGAGCAGGGCTTAATTGGCTCAATCGGTAAGTGACGTCAGCAAAAAAGGACTGTAGCGTTAGCACTACGGAAGACGACACAGCTCAGGCACAGGTCATTGTGCTATATTAACAGGCTGAAGTTGGCCTCCGCCACACCGCACAGAACTTTTCTCCAACAGTTTGCTCTAACCTCACACTTACATCTGCCTCTCAGTCTTAGCTCTCAGCTTAGGTTTTAATCCTGGTTTCTAATGGTCCTTGTTCAGCAGGGCTATGTGTACATCAGCTACTCGCGGTCCTCTCCCTCACATAAAGTGCCTGCTGTCCCGCTGCTCAGAGTCTCAGCCAAAACTCCCAGCGAGCTGGTTATTCAAGATTTCCTAAACTGGTTAACAGTGCTTCTTATGAAGGTTTATTACACCGTTAATTGTAATGTAGTTATATACTGCTTCCTTTGCTTTAGCCACCTGCTGCAGGATCTTACTGTGAGTTGGCCAATGGGAGTCTTCTCATTTGCATATAGAAGCACCCGGAAAAAGACTCTTTCTTCACAGATGAGAAAAGTCTAGGTCAAAACACTGTAAAGAAGCTGAATTAAAGCCTTTTTACGTCGCCCACAGATGTCTTTCAAAGAGCGCAGCAAGGTAAATTAAACTGAACTAAACTGAAGATGCCTTATTTTCCAAATAAAGGTACCACTACCGAAATACAGCTGTTATTGATTGACTACCTCCATTTAGCTTTTAAATTGGGTTCATCATGCTATTGACTGTTGGTATCTGAATGTGGTCTCAGCTGCTCATGAGCAAATTCATAGTCCTATGGTATTTTTATGTCATAAAAAGTATGCTGCTCTATGCTGTGTTAAAACAGCACAAAAAGGAAACATAAAAGCCTGCAAGAAAGCCTGACCTGATAATAGAATATAGGTGACCTGATAACGCCATTGCCATCTTTAGTAGGCCTGCATGTTGCAAGTGAACTGAGTTCATCTCCCCATTAATCAGCGCATGAAATCTGTGTGCCTGAACCAGAAAGATGTTCATGCCTAAAGGATTACACCCCCTCAACACAAGCTCCCTCATTAAGGAACAACACAAGACAAAAAAGATCATTAGAGATCATCAGAAAAGATTATCAGAACATACATTAACATCAGTTGGATTTTTTTCTGGTGAATCATTCATATAGATCATCTAAATGTAAACGTGGAGCAGTCAGGCTTGTATTTGCTGCATTCTGTTTCATTGAGTTTATTGTTGTATTTCATTGTTGTAAAGTTTTATGGGCTGGAGAGAAGAATAAAAGAAAATTCAACTCAAACTCCGTGCTCTTAATGCTTGTTCTGAAAGAGCATAATGGTAAACATGCTGTGGAAACAAGTGATCAAACAACACAGAATTAATTCATTTACTCACTTTAAGATTTAATTCTGTTGGTACAGGATTTCTTAAAGGCTTTATTAGGGTATCTTTCTCAAGAGGCAGTGATGAGGGCGTCGCAGCCTGGGCAATAGCAGAACTGTCCAAGACCCCTAGATGGAACCTGCGCTAAAGACTTTGCTTTGGTGTACAGTTGTTAATTTGTTGAGTACCCTTGAGCAGTGATGCTCTTCAGATCACAAGACAGAATGCAGATTCTCTTGTTCTCAGCCAAACAGAGATTGCTGGAATACAGCCTTAGCTTTAGTTTAGCAGTTAATATTAATATGATTTAATTTAGTTCTAATTTAATATTTAATATTTTATCTCAAAAGCATCACAAATATAGAGATGGCGGGTTTTAAATGGTTGTTTGAAGGTTGTCTGAATATACATGTTGCTATATTTTAACAGGTTTAACAAATAATAGATATCCCTGTCTGTTTGTGACACTACACTGACCAGCCATAACTTTAAAACCACCTTCTTGTTTCTACACTCATTGTCCATTTTATCACCTCCACTTAGCATATAGGTGCACCTTGTAGTTCCACAATTATAGACTGTAGTCCATCTGTTTCTCTGCATACTTTGTCAGCCCCCTTTTATTCTGATGTTCAAAGGTCAGGACCAGTGCTGGAAGTAACGAGTTACAAAGTAACGGATTTCTGTAATTCCAGTACTCTTGGTGGTAATAAGTAATGTATAATTACCTTTAACATGAAATAACACCATTACAATTACTGAAATTTAAGTGGGCTGTTAATTCTGTCTTGCGTGAAAATGTTAATGGACAACTGCAGACTAAAGCAGACAAATGCAGCCTATTTCCTGTTTATGATCCAAAATCACCCAACCACAAAGTGGCACAATAAATGATCAATCAGCATTAGCCCACACAATGGCCAACAGTTCGGGCAATGTGAGCTTGCTGTCCTGGAAATATGAGCATTATATTTCCATTCCTGAGATCAAGGACAAAAATATACTGGTGTATGTGCAGGTGTGAGAACTTTGTCCACATCAGAGTATAGTAATTCTGACCTTCTGAAGCACCTGGTAAAACAACATGCATCCACAACCTGTTTCCAAAAAAGTTGGGATGCTGTTCAAAATGTAAATAAAAACAGAAAGCAATGATGAGCAAATCATGTAAACTCTATATTTCATTTTAAAAATAGGACAAAAGACAACATATCAAATGTCGAAACTGAAAAATTGTATTATTTTTTTAATATGCCTACTTTGAAATTGATGCGAGCGACACGTTTCAAAAAAAGTTGGCAGGGGGGGCATGTTTATGTTGCATCACCTCTTCTTTTACAAAACTCTGTAATTGTTTGGGAAGTGAGGAGACCAACTGCTGTAGTTTTGAAAATGAAATGTTTTCTCATTCTTGCTTGATATAGGATTTCAGCTGCTCAACAGTTCAAGGTTTCCCTCGGCATATTTTTCATTTCATAATGGGCCAAATATTTTACTATGGAGCCATGCTGTTGTAATATGTGCAGAATGTGGTTTGCCATTGTCTTGCTGAAATAACCGGGGCCTTCCCTGAAAAAGACGTCATCTGGATGGCAGTATATGTTGCACTGAAACCTGTATATATCATTCAGCATTGATGGCGCCTTCAAAGATGTGCAAGTCACCCATGCCATGTGCCCTAATGCACCCTCATACTATCACGGATGTTGGCTATTGAACTGTGCTGATAACAAGATGGATGATCCCTCTTCTCTTTAGTACAGAGGACGCGGTGTCTATGATTTCCAAACAGAATTTCAAATGTTGATTTGTTGGACCACAGGACACTTCTGCACTTCCCCTCAGTCCATTTTAAATGAGCTTGGACCCAGAGAAGTCAGCGGCGTTTCTGGATCCTGTTTATATATGGTTTCTCCTTTGTAGGATAGAGTTTTAACTTGCATTTGTGGAGGCAGCAATGAACTGTGTTTCCAGACAGTGGTTTTCTGAAGTGTTCCTAGCCCATGCAGTGATTTCCACTACAGATGTCTACATGTCTGTTTTTAATGCACTGCTACCTGAGGGCCTGAAGATCATGGTCATCAAATAATGGTTTTCAGCCTTCTCCTTTACATTCAGAGATTTCTCTGGATTCTGTGAATCTTTTAATCATATTATGTACTATAGACGATGAATTCCCCAAGTTCTTTGCTATTTTACATTGAGAAACATTATTCTTGAATTGTTGCGCTATTTATTCATGCAGCCTTTCACAGAGTGGTGAACCGCTCATCATCTTTACTTCTGAAAGACTCAGCCTCTCTGGGATGCTCTTTTTATAGCCAATCATACTACTGACCTGTTGCCAATTAACCTAATTAGTTGTGAGATGTGCCACTAGGTGTTTTTTTTTAGTATTACACAACTTTACCATTCTTTTGTTGCCCGTGTCCCAACTTTTTTGCTGTTGCTGGCATAAATTCAAAATGGGCATATATTTAAAAAAAAAAACAATAAAATGTCTCAGTTTCAACATCTGACATGTTGTCTGTGTACTATTTTCAATTAAATGTACGGTGTAAATGATCTGCAAATCACCCAAGGCTGTAAACCTGGCAGAACCAAACAGACTGACTGCCAGGTATGCTGTCAAATAAACACAACCTATGTCAGCGGTTAGAGTGTCAACATTTAGAAGTAACACAAAAGTTACTATTCTTGGTAACTAATTACCTTCCCTGCTAGAAAAACAGCATAGACCATGATTGCTAGTCACCAGTAAAACCAGCCTTTGTTGTGTTTTGGATGCTGGTATGCTGGTCAGCAGCAATAGAAGCTGTTATGCTGATCACAACTAAAACCAGTATATGTTGTGTTTTGGATGGTGGTTTGCATGACAATGCTGGGTGACCAGCTAAACCAGAACCAGACCAGCATAAACCGGCTTAGACTAGCATGGAATAAATGTGGTGTTAGCTGTGCTGGTATGAGTGGATCAGACACAGCAGTGCTACAGTCTCTGACTTTACATCTACAAGGTGGATCATCAAGGAAGGAGTGTCTAATAGAGTGGACAGTGAGTGGAGACAGTGTTCAGAAACTCCAGCATGGTAAGTGGAGCTGATAAAATAGATAATGAGTGTAGAAACAAGCAGGTAATTTTAATTTTACAGTGGATCAGTGTATTTGTTTGCTGATCATCCAACATTTCTTTTGAAATTAAGGATATTAATAGTGGGCTTGTGCCCTTTTGATCCACTAACAGTATCTAACTCTTCTGGGAAGCCCTCCCACTGGATGATGCTGCTCCACAGCCCTGCTGGAAAAACCCATAGAAACCTTTAAGCGTTTATGTTGGTTCCTGATGGTTTTGTAATGTGTTTTGGCTTTTTTGATGGGATGATGTCAAAATGAAAAGGTTTCTAATTGTTCAACAGGTGTTTTGGGACTGATTCCAGACGCATTTAATGGTTTTCTAATGGGATCTAAAGGTTGGAAAGCGAACCTACTGGAAAGCAAAACCAGTGGTTTGAATCCTAATGGTTTCTAATGGTCCTTCTTCAGCAGGGAAGAGCAGTAGTCAGGTCAGGTACCGATGACGTAGGAACAGGTTTTCATCCCAAAGATGTTGGACAGTGCTCCATCACTCCGGAGAGCACAGTTCTGCCGCTCTACAGACCAATGCTGAGGGACTTTTTCCCCCTTTAGCTGACACTGGCTATGGCAACATTGGAGCGTTGGAGCGTTTACTATGGCAACGCTCCAACGTCCATTCTATTAGCAGTGCTGCTCTATGGAGATTATACAAGCTCTGCGCAGTTGAACTCCTGTGTCAGTAATAGGTGCACTATAAAGTAACTGAAGGGCTACAGAACCTGAAAGCGAATGTTTAAATTACTCCCATTGTAATATAACCCGGTAAGGACCAGCGTCATTCTAGCGCTGAAGCGTCTCCTAACTGTGAGAAATGCTGCCATCGTGCGGTGGAACTGCGACTTATTAGTCGTTGCACAAGCCGCTGCGTCAACGGTCACGTGATCACATTCTCAAATGAGTCTGTAACCCGATAAAAACGACAGTTTTTTGATCTGAAGAGTTTTTTATTATCTTGATCACTAACAACGATGTCTTTCTGTTCGTTTTCCGGAGGGGAGATCTATAAAAACCACTTTGAGACGGGTAAGTTCCGTCGTGTTTAGTTTCACCAACTCTCTGACGGTGCTGTCAGTGTAACACAGTTTTCTCGACAGCCATTCATTCAAGCTCACAGACTTTCTGACTGACTTTCCTCTGCGGTTCTGGATTTAAAGCTACAATGTCAACAGCTTTTTGAACAGCACGGGTACGGAACCTGTCACAAAGCTAACGATTTAGTTTAATAATAAGCCGACCCGGTAAAGTAGGTTTAAAACCGAGCTTATTTATTACCTGAAAGTGCAGAAATGATCAAAGATACATTCTCACTGAGGAGAGGACAGACAACAAACTAGCTACTGTTGAGTAAATTACCTTACACTGAGGAGAATAACAGAGACGCTTCAGAAAGTAAGGGACCGTCTGAAAAGTGCGCGGCTTAGTTTAATGTAGACTACACTGTAACGCACAGAGTCACTCCTAATAAAGAAAGTATCATTTTTTAGGCCTGTAAATTATTTGATATACATGTAAAATGGAACAAATAAATGTATATGAAAATGGCCAAGAATGTTTACCATGTTTGTAGGGTTTAATGAATATTTATTTGTGACCTAAATGACTGTTAGATATTAAGTAAAGCGGCAAAAACACTAGTAATATATATATATATATATATATATATATATATATATATGTGTGTGTGTGTGTGTGTGTGTGTGTGTATATATATATATATATATATATATATATATATATATATATATATATACATATATATATAGATGCAGAAAGTAAATATGTAAAATTTCTTTGTCAAATACATTTGTAAATTGACAAAAAAAAAACCTAAAACAAACAAAACAAAACTTGCATGTTAGCACTGATACATCTTGTTCCAATTGTTTCTGTAAAGATAAGAAAAACGATCACATAGACCTCTGACCATAACTGTTTTTGAAAGTTGTTACTGCTATTGAGTTGAAGAGACGTTGGATCTTTTCCTTGTTGGTTAGTCATTTTACCACATTACTGAAAAAGGAAGAAGGAAAATGATTACACTGGAGCTGATAATGAAATGTTATGACCAGATCAGGTTACATTTTAGATTGTGGAAGGTCCAGGCATTAGCTATTGATATTGCAACACACTGGTGGTTTCAGAAAGGAAGTTTCACCTCAGTGATGTAGGCTTTATTGGATCGTGACCTCAGAAATGAATGATTTCTTTAGTAGGAAGAAACCAGTCTGGGAGACAGTAAGTTGAATAAAGTTTACCAAGCAGAATTTGATGATTTACAGTATCAAAGTTCAGCTTACATTTACACTCATGCAACTCATGTAACCTTGATGTGGTTTTCATTTTAAACCTGTGTCTAATGTAAAACCAACATTACTGCAGCTGATCACAGTGCTGCCCTGCTCACTAAGCAAGCTACAGAATGCTCTGGAAAGTTACACTGAAGTTACGTAAGAGCTTATATGTAATCTAGTCTTTCATCTTTTTGCTTGTTCTCTTGGCTGAATTAACCCATTAAATCAACAAGCTTTCACTACTGGATTTCTTTTCTCTTATACTTGTTTTTGTACCACAAAATGCATAATTATAGCTTTTTATTGATTTATAAGTAAGTTAAAGAAGTCATACATTTTGGTAGAGTTAGATAGTTTGATAGAGTTATTGCAAACTTTATAACAAATTAATTTAATGTTATTAACCAAACTCCTTTCTGTTGTTAAGATTTTATACATTGATACAGTAGCCTGTGTTCCATAATACATTATGGATGTGACTGCATGCAAATGAAGTAAGTATGTAACTTAACAGCATTTTCCTCTCATGTAGGTATATATGTTTGCTCAAAATGTGGCTACGAGCTGTTCTCCAGTAAGACTAAATATGAGCACTCCTCGCCCTGGCCTGCCTTCACTGAGACCATCCACAAGGACAGTGTCTCCAAAGAGGAGGAGAGAAGAGGTGCTTACAAGGTAGATGGCATATACACTATACACCATAAACTGTCTGTTTTATGAAGCAACTGAAATTCATCTGCTATGAGATTTCTCCCTCTGATTGTATTATATGGTCTTCCAAGAGACAGAAGCATGTGAATTTTGTATTACAATGTAATTTCAGAATAATTTTTCTTCTACGTTTTTTCATACTGAAGTAATAAATTGTCTCTAATCGGTTTGCATGTTTTGAAATGCGTCTGTTTGTTGTAGGTACGATGTGGAAAGTGTGGTAACGGTCTGGGCCACGAGTTTGTGAACGATGGGCCCAAACGTGGACTCTCACGATTCTGAATATTCAGCAGCTCACTCAAGTTCGTCCCTAAAGGTATTGAGCAGTTTTTATTCCAGTAAAAGTCACTAAGTCGTGTGAAAGTGCAGGGTTCATAAGTTAAAGAGGACCAGTCACACTGTCAAAAAGTCTTGTTCCATTTTCTAGCCCAGAACAAGGCCAGATGACATGGAGCTGCATAAGGTTTGGCCTTGTGTCTATATTTGCGGGCCAATTATGGCATGAATGTTCTAGACCAAGAATATAGTTGGGTGAGATTTGGGCCACATTCATTAGTTCTACTCACTGTGCAGTGTGTGGGCCAGGTCTGCAATGATGATCCAGCTGTATACTGGGCCAGAACAAACACAAGGATGTGGCCCACAAATGGGCCAGAAAATTTTGCTTGGGTTATATATAACCCGAACTCCACCAAAAAAGACTCTGTTAGATGTAATGAGAATGAGTGTGTTAAAAACACTTCGAAGCAGGAAGATTTCAAAAAGGATTTAAAATTTTGACTTTTTGAACATCAAATCCAGAAGCTCATTCTGTCTGTGAGCTTTATCACCAGAAACATCACCAAAAGGGAAAAAACAGAGCTGAGATGAGGTATGCTGTGTTAGCTTTGCTAACAAATATGCTTTAGCTACTAAAAAAGTGCTCGCTTGATAACATAATGATATGTTTTTCATTATATGTCAGCTCAGCAAAGCTACTTGAAATAATTACTTTTCCATTTATAAGCTGCTCTTATAGGCTCGAGGGTGTGTTTTCCCCTTGTATTTTAGCCTGCTTCACTGTTTGTGCCATCGTCTCTCTTCTGTCTGTTTTGGTTAAAAATTGTATGGTTTCAAAATCGACATAATTTAATATTCTGCCTCTACCAACTCTGAAAGTGTAAACGCAATGCTAGACTCAGTCATAAATAGTTTGCTTTATCAACTAACTAGTTCTATATTTCTGGATGGACAGACTGTTTCACTGTTTCTGTTTGAGAGTTTGAGGAGGTTGAGCTAGTAAATGTGAATGTAGATTATACAGACAGGGCACATGCAATTGCTGTGATTCTTAGGAGTCCTTTCTCAGTTTGAAACATACAGTAAAAAAAAAAATAATAATAATAAAACCTCAGGCATGACACAGCTCCATCTGGCACACAAAATAGGCCAAACCTGATTGTCCCCCCTTTAAGCTTTGATTATGTGATCTATAACTTATAATCTAATACATAGTTTTAATTATGTAATTAATTTAATTAGATTTTAACATTTTAGCTGCATTTTGCTCATATGCCGTTATCAATATGATTAAGCTGCTCTGTCATCTGTTCATTGTTCTAAAGTAGTAAAAATAAATCGGGAGATTGTTCGTCAGAGGGGGTGACAAAGACTTAAGGCTTTTCACCAATACACGAAATAAACAAAGAAAAAAAAATAATAGTTTTGAAAACTGCATGTAAATACTATTGTCGTTTTTCATATCAGAGCTCTGAGCTGAAGCAGAGCCTCAAGCTCCACCATACAGCGCTTTTTTTTTTTAGCGGAATGGACGGTTAAAAATGAACTGGATGTGAAAAGACCTCAAGGACGTTTCAGGATTCAAGGACGTTATCACTAATGATTATTGATCCCAGCCCTGTTTTACAGTTTGTACAATGGAGAGAGGGATTAATAATGTCTTACTGTGTTGTTACAGCACTAAACAAGATCCATCACATGTAAAGTAAAAATAGAATAAAGTATAGATAAGAATAAGAAAAATTGAAATGCAATACAATACAAAGATAAGAATGCAGACATGTTTACATCATGTCCTATAAATCTGACCTACCATATCTAATAATATTACTGTAATGAATGTATTGATATGGACTATAATCATATTCTCCTCACTGTGTCTTTTTACAGAGTAGGACGGACAATAGAGTGAGCTGCTGGATGGAGAGGTGAAGATGGGTTCGAGTCTACAGAGTGGCTCTGTTCTGTGGCCGGTGCGGACATTCAGTGACGTGTTCTGTGATAAAGCCCACGGTGGACATTCAGAACTCTGAAGTTCATGACCTCACTGGTGAACAAGGACAAGTCTGCTCCTAACAGTCATTTGCCGAATGTTGCACAAATGAACCACCAGCCTTCTTCATAAAGATATAATTACTGTATGAAGATTTTTAGATAACTCTATACAAAGTTACAGGGTGTTTTCAGACGATGCCTATAGCAATGCAAATCAGTGCCTGGACTGTTACAGAAGCACCACCTCAGTCTCATTTTAATTTTGAGGAAGGAAAAACACTACAAACCTGTTTGCTGAGATCATATTTTGCACCAGCTGAAGTGTTTATCAAAAAATAAACAATGTATCCACATATTTGGAGCACTAAGAATAAAAGTTTCAGTATGTTAATTTATTTGCTGTTTTTTTTTAAATAGTCATAGGTTTGTTTTGTGGGTATAAACCTACAAGGTATTTCTGTTCTGTTTGTCAATGTTTTATTAATGTTTCAGTATTGTGTTAAGTATATCAGCCTTCACCAGACTGAACTTTACTGTTTGATTTTGGTTCAGTATCAAGTACCTTTCTCTGTTGAGGTAACTCAAGTTCTGGTGTCTTACAAAAAGCATTTGTAAAAGCTTTTGGCATCAGTGCTCTGAGCAAAAATAATCAAATTGATAGGATGTTAAAAAGGAGGAATTCTACCAGTCTACACCAAAATTTCTGCAAAATTCTATCTTTAAGATGTAAACAAGGTTATTCAGAGTGCTTTGATGTGAAATGGTTCATTGTAGAGAAACATACCTTTTTCTTTACAGTGGTAGTGATGGGAACCAGATGAGAACACAATTATAGCCATTTTATTTTAAATCCAAGATAAACAGTGAGCCTACATGGGTCTTGAGTTTTTAGATGTAATATTGATGTACACTAAAATAGTGGTAAATCTATAAAAAGTTATTTTAATGTTAAAAAAATAAGCTTTCTCTGGGTAATATTTTGCCTTACAGAGCCCAACACATAATTTTCCAGCATATAAAAGCTTTGAAATAGGACATTTAGGCCAAAACCTTATCGTAAAACCTAATACTATTATAAAACAAGGTCTCGGCTATTAGGAATGCATTTGTAATCATTTCATTTAACAGCTTTTTGTGAGAGAACTTTTAGAGGAAGTCGACATTTTGGATGTGTGCCTCCTATCACCACCACTGTAAATGCTTCTGTAAGTTTCTTCAGAATGGCGCATTTCACAGTGACCCACTCCAAATGACTTTGGTAATGATTTATTTATGCAGAAATTTTGTGTAATGCCTCTCTATTAAGTAGTAGATGTTGACCAAAACGCTGATTTTGCTCATAGAGTGTGAACCCTGGCATCACCAGTTGGTGGTGGTGTTGTAAAATATTTGTGTGAGGATTCTTCCGTATTTTATTTATATATTTTTTGCACAAAATGGTGAGATGTGTTCTAACAGCACCTGCTGACAAGGACAGATAAGATTCTCAAATCTTCTGGGAAAACTCTTCTGGGAAAAATCCTCAGTAAATAGCAGGTGTGTCCTTCAAACGAAAGCAAGGGCAAAGAGTTCACAAGTTTAAACTGAGATACAGGACCAGGTGCTCAGTAACAACCGCTTGTGTTTCACTGAAGTGTGAAATTCTTTTTTTAAAGAAATGTAGGAAATGCACCAAATGATGGTGTTAATATTAAACTGGAAGGCAAAGCCAATAATGCTAAAGACAGATGTATCACTTCATTGGCAGTTTCTGTATAGGCCTATACATTAAAATGAAGGTTAAGAAAGAGGGTTATTCTATGGAGCCCCTATAGTGCTATTATAAGTATGACATTGAGTTGCAAAATTTTTGCATTCCCTCACAATGATTTTGCATTCCCTTGTAAAATATGGAACCACGGCCCCTTAGAGGATCCATATTATTCTGCTCTTTGTAGTAACATGTAAAAGTGTACCATGAATTGTTAATGTTTTCCAATGAGACAAAAATGCTTGGCCCCAAAATCTTAATGTTGCAGCTGTATTCCCAATCCCTTCCACAACCGTGGCTATTAGCAAGGCACAAATAATTGCCTGTACTGCTACAGAAAATGCACTCTTTTAGGACCAACATTAGATTTCTAATAATAGTTTTATCCTTATGTGATCCTACTCAAAGTCTTCTGAATCAACAGTAGATCTAAATAGGCTTGATGGCCAAGCTTTAACCTAGGCTCCTTATTAGACCCGCTAAGAAATTAATTAGCTTTTTGATCAATATTGAACTACTTTATACCCTTTGAGAGTCACAGATTTTTTTATGGAGTGTCGACAGGCAGTTACGTTACAGTAGCCCTCTTGAATATCAGGCCTGCTGCTTTGCTGCAGAGAAGATTCAGCTGCCCATCAGTGCAGAAACAGGTGAGGTTGTGACTTACTGCTAACAGCTAGGATGCTTTTTTACGAAGGGTATCAGTCCCACAGACCGATGTATTCCCAGCAGAACTATGCATCCTGCAGGGGGAAGCTGTGATATAATCTAATTGGCGGTCTCCTCCTCACTAATTAGCTGAATTAGCCCCCAAGGTCAGCACCCCAGGCGCCAGTTAGCCTTTAATGCTAAGATCAGCTTCCCCTACATGACCTTGAGCGCTGTGAGAAAACCATTCAGAACTGGTCTTAGGAACTACCATGACTGGTTACAACCTCAGAAGATCTAAGCAGTGTCTACTTCCTGTAGCTGTGTGTGTAGTGTAGTATAGGCAAAGTTCACTTTATGAAGTGCTGTTTCTGATGTTGATCCCTGCAAGAAAAAAACAGTACAATCCAACATGGCTAGTCACCAGCAAAGCCAGCATATGTTTTATTTTGAATGCTGGTATGCTTGTCAACCAGCATGGTCCATGCTGGGTGACTAGCTAAACCAGCATAAACCAGCTTTGATCAGCATGCATACTATGCTGGTTTATGCTGTTTGTTTCAGCAGGAATGACAGCTCTCCATTTTTAGCTCAGTTAAGTTTTAACATAGATGAATCACAGCTCACTGATTGCAGTTCTTGTAGAAATTAAATGAGTAAGCTCCTGTCACAGAGGTTTTATTACAGTTAAGGGATGTCGCTAAACTGGGACTATCCCTTTTATACAAATACATGATTCCTGGGCCAGTGAAGCCTTTTTCCTAAGAATATAAACTGTCTCATCTGCTTTACTTGTGGTCATCAAACTAGTAACTTTGAGATTGCACCCTTTAAAAAAGGGGGGTCCTCCAAGAATCTATGGTTAACAGTTATATCTAAAACCATGATATTTGAATGCTTAAATGGTTCTTCTCCATGATGGACATTGTTCATGTTTGTGTATGGTTCCTTAAAGAACATTATGAAAGTGGTTATGGATCATTCTACCCTAGTGGTTTAAAGTCGGAATTGAAAACACATTTCAGACTTTTAACTGATTCAGACTTAACCTTAGACTCAAATCCTGCTTTGAGTGACTCTAGATCTTAATTATATTTATTATATTTGAAAAAAATGAACATTCCATTTTCACTACCAATACAATAATAACACCTCCAAATGTTTCAGTAGTGACTGTAGTGGCAATTTTAGCTCATTTTGAGCATAACAGTTATACACACATAAAATCATAATACTTTTCATTAAAACATAATAGTTTACTTAATTGCAGAAAATGTATTTCAGTAGTGACAATTCCCAATGTTACACACCGATGAAAAAGTACCCTATTAATGATGATTTTGTATATATTTGGCTTCTGAATAAATGCCTTAGGTTTAAATAGATTGTTATATAAGCCTTGTAAATATCTAAGGTCTGATTTCATTTGTTTTTTTTAATACTTTTTTAACTAGTTTGGTAGAATGGAGCATATAAACACCAAAACTGTTTCTGCTGTTGTTACTAGTTTAAAAGCTTTCTTTGGTACAATATAGCACTATTCTTTTCCCACCACTGTGCCGTGTCTTAATGATACCAAGTACACCCGCTTGAAGGTTCTTCAGTTCTTCTCTGTAGGCTAACTATGCCAGTGTTGAGTGCAACTCAGTCTTCACATCCACATCCACATGGTCCAGAATTCCCACTCCAAGAGTTAGCAAGTATACACTCATACACAAAAGGACGTCTGGTTGCCCCAGGTCAAATGACATGTTGGTTGATTTTCTAAGTGACAATAAGTTAACACATCCTCCACAGAGAAGCACAGTTACTGTTTATCCACAGAATTTAATACATTGGGAATAAGCAGAAAGTGTGGCCTGTGCAGTTATGGCACATTTTATATTTCTGTTTTAATATTTTTCCAAATATGTTAAATTGTGCACTAAAATGTCCTATTTATGTTCGTTTCTTGTAAAGGAGGTGTTAAAGTGGTTAGATGTGAAATGTGTCATTGTGGATAAATGTGATTAGAGACTCTGATCTCTTTACAGTGGTGGTGATAGGAACTAGGGGTCATGATGCCACAACACAAATTTATTTACCATTTTATTTACCTCCAAAACCACCACTGAACCTACACATATCTTCTGATTTTTTAGATGAAATATCACCGATGGTAAAGTTTTCTTTGGAGACTATTTTGCCTTACACCACCCTGCATGTATCCCTCTTTCATGAATAGACTAAAATGATTGGATGAAAGTACATTTTAAGCCAAAACCTTTTCACAAAACCACCAGAAATCAGTCATCAGACAGCAAGTTTTTCTAGAATGGAGCATTAACACTCTGCATGACTTTGTTTACATCTCAACCATTTGATTATGTAGAATATTTGAAAAATTGGCAGAGTTCCCACTTTACCTTATTTTCACTTAGAAAATCAACAAAACATGTTGTTTGTCCAGGGGTGTTCAATTTTTTGAAACTATCTAGGCATATTTTCAGACATATTTGGCAAGAGTTACATTTGATGCCTGTCGTCCATGCGTTCTGCACTCATGTAGGCTTTTTTGCAGTATGGGCCAAATATCTGTCCCACTTTTTCTGATGGATGGAAACGTAAACAAGCTTTAGAAGCTGAGTCAGTGCATAATTTCCTCCACTGATCAAAGGAGGAGCTCAAGGCTTCTCAGCAACCTGTTAGCACTGATAACAATCTGCAGTATACAGGCTTTACAACTGAATGTATATCATACTTTTAAAGAGCACTAGCTGCTACTTGTGAGTCACATTTCAAACTTGATGTGAATGTCTAGGACTTTCCATTTTTATGCTGATCTAGGCCTAGTTTTGGGAGACTTTTTTTAACATATAGGGGATGAATTGAAGCTAACCCTAGATATCAGCCAGCACTCTGAGCTGTGCTTTGTGCTATGAAAAGGATATCTGATCAACCATGGAAACTGTAAACATCATGACAGCAGCACATCTGGACAGCAGATTGCGTGTTTTT